CCCTTAGAATTATGGAATCCCAACCTCCAACTAATCAACTACTAGCATAGCAAAACTGACCATTGTGATATCAAATAAGAAAAATATTATAGTGATACAAAAGSGGAAAATAGCAAATTGCTCAGATTCTATTTTTCTYATCTTTGGTGTTGTCTAGGGTTTATGATTCAGAAGAAGGGTTGAGACCGATAAGAAGGGTTTATGATACAGACCCATAAGCAACAATGTAGGGAGCTAAAATTATGAAATTGAGAGGTCTTACCTGTGACTGTGACTGATGAAGAAGAGGAGAATGGTGAACGCGACCAGGGTTGCTGGCGATTCTTACAGCCGACCGAGAAGAAGCGTCGCTTGGAAAAATCGAGACTGGTGATGAAGAAGAAGAGAACGACGATTAGAGAAAAGGGAGGGCAAGCTTGGAAAAATATACATTTGAATCGTATGGAGAGCTAGCGGGTGAAGGAGCGATTCAGATCTAAAGTTTTCATTCAGACATTTTTTAAAACCTATCCAAACAAGAAAATGTCTGACCGAATCAGACCCTTACCTCTTAATGGTATCATTAAAAGGTAAACAAACAGCCCCAAAGAGTATTAAGGTAAGAAGCTTAATAAAGGATCTTCAGCCTTTAATGTATATTAGAATGAGATACACCAGATCAATTTACGTATCAAATGTGATTCATGGGTGAGTTTGAGATTAAAAGTGATCAAAGATCCAGATCCTTTCTTATACTTCTCACTTTAACTTTTCGTCTATGGCCTATAAAATATCAGGAACGGGCCGGTATGAAACTGGGGTAATGGAAACTGTTATTATTTCATGTGAGAAGCAAAAATTTGTTTGATTTCATATAAGAAACAAATCAGTTAAAAAAGGGTGAAGAGTCGGTTACGTATAGTAACCGAATAAAATATTTAAGAAATTAATGATTTTTATGGAAACAAATCTGATTTATTTGATATTATATGAGATATTTAAGAAAGTTAATTATTCCTAAAAATACGAATTTGATAATAAAAAAAAAGCCCAGATACCATTTGTTTTAAGGTTTGTAACCTTCGAATTTGGTAAAGTGAGATTTCGTTAGAAACCTTATTTTTATTAAGAATCGGGAAACCACAGTGTACGTGCCAATGTTTATATTCTTCATGAATATAAATATGGATGTAAATTTTTTTACAATATTCATCAAGAATAAACATTCATGATGAATATTTAGGGGTTATTTACCAGACACTTACCCGGATAAATCCTTATTAAGTCACATTACCTCACCGGATGTATATGGTAAGGACTAAAAATCTTACCCGGTAAGAGCGAGACTAGGATCATGAGTCTTGCTTGGTAAGTAAGGACGACGACTCTTACCACGGTAAATGCTTACCGAGTAAATTGTTGCATACAATGTTGTTTTGATGGATTAAAATCTAACCAGTAAGTAAATAATAGTGTTAAATTTTACCGTAAACACTTACCGAGTAAGTGTTTGGTAAACGGCCCATTCGTCTATATTTATCGTGAATATGGACACTTGATGAACTCTTGCTTATTTTCCGGTTCTCAATGAAAATAAGATCCTAACAATAATTATCTTTAAAAAAACAATATTATTTTCTTCGTATCAAAATAATATCCATAATGAAAATGACACATAATTTAATTATTTAATAATTATTATAACCGTTAAATAATTAAATGACATTTTTATTCTTAATTATAAAAATAAATTTCTCTTCATCATGTGATTAAAGGCAGAATAAAAAATATATACTTATTTTTAAAAATAAATATTTATTTTAAAATAATTGAAATAAATTTTATCAAAAATCTTTTTTAAATGTAATTTTTTTTTGTAAATGTAAGTACTTTTTTGTTATATTTGTTTAATTTTATAGATCTAAATATTTTTTTGTTCAAAAAATGTTTAGGGACTTAATCGTTCAAAATATGAATTTTCATTGGGGGTTTTCTTGGACTTTTTTTTCACTATTTTACCACTTTAACTAGTTGTACAAGTCATAAGAATGTATCCAACAAGTTCTAGAAAAGTCCAAGGAGTTATTTAACATGTTTTGGATTGTCCAAGGACTTATTTGTTCCAAAAATTGTCCAATGAATTATTTAACATGTTTTAAATTGTCCAAGGATTTATTTTTTCCAAAAAATTATCCAATGAATTATTTAACATGTTTTGGAATGTCCAAGGACTTATTTGTTCCAAAAAATTGTCCAAGGACTTAATCATTCCAAACACTAAAGTCCATTGGGTTTTTTTAGACTTTTCCCATAATAAAATTACTACCTTATAAACTAGATTTGCCAAAAGTCTTAAAAACAATTTTTAATACACAAAGTACTATACATTTATGCACAAAGTCTTAAAAGTTTTAAAAACAACTCATAATGCATTAAGTACTACTACCTTATGCATTCAGTCATAAAATTTCTTAACCTACAATTAAAATAACATATAATACAAGTTACCAATGACATTATTACTTTTTCTTTTCATGTTCCCAATATACTTTTGACACATTTCACTCATGTCTTCTCCCTCTCATATCTCTATGCCTTCATCATGAGTGATTAAAAGTTCTCTCATTCAATTGCTCTAGAACTCTCGCTCTCGATCTCTTGATTCTTTGCTCTTGGTGTAAATCAAACACATTTATGAAGTTGTTTAAATATATTGGATTCTAAATTGTCATACAATTTTTTTCATCGATAGACTGTAATTGGAACCATAATTCTTATTTATTCAAATTGTATTAATATGTAAAGACCAAGTGCAACTTATATCATCGTTAAATCTTCTCTAATAAAATTAATGAAACTTCAAAATCGTTGAAATTGATGACTTCCACCGCATTACACGGATAGACAATTAGTATCTAGTAATAAATATTCCAAAACTGGAATGTGTATTTTAGTCATTGACTTGACTTTGTTACCAAATGGGTAATGGCGGGTCAGCGCAACTAATATCAAAAGTCAAAATCATCATCTACACACGGACTTTGCCGCAAGCCCGCAACCTTTTTTTATTTACGCGTCTTTTCCTTTCCAAAAATATCAGATGCTCAAATTTTTCTTTTAAAATACAATAATAGTCTACAAGAATTTAATAAATCAAAAAAGCCCAAAAAATTGTAACATATAATAAGAGGCAATTAATAAGGGATAAAAAAAATATATCAACTAATTACATCGAAGATATAAAAATAAAAAATAATAATTGGTCATTCATTATATGCTATTGTTTATTGTCTCTCTAATTCTTTTTATCTCCAACAAAGTCTAATGATATTGATTATTGCTATCTCTTGACTGTTTTCATGTATCAACAATTCAACGTTAAGATCATCTCGAAAATACTTCATTTTCAAGAATTTTATGATTACGTTCCAATCATCGTTAGTTTCCACAACATATTATATCATTAGATATTGTTGAAATGGGACCGCGTGAATATAAATTTAATTTTGGGACATGATTTTAATTTGAAAATAAAAAATCTAAAAACCATGAAAAAAAATATATCAAATTAAAGATAATAAAATAATTGGTTTTTTTATGTAATTTTTTATTCCAATTTTTTTATTTTGTATTTTGCTGATTTTTTATTTAAAAATTAAGAAGAAATATTTATATCTATATTATATTATAAAGCATTTGACAAAAACTCTTAAAAACTATTTTTTATGCATAAAGTACTGTTATATTGATGCATATTACTTAAAATTCAAGATTACAACTAAATTATGCATAAGTACAACTTATTAAAACTCCATATTTTGAATTCGTGTAACTAACTGCGAATAAACATAATCAAATAGAGGATAAATATTTTATTTTAAAATATAAAAAATCTAAACTATAATTAAGATAATTATCGAGTTCTAACAAAATAATTAACTATTATCTTTATAAGAAAATTATATTACTGAACCAAATATAAATTAATTCGTTATTGAACTTAAATTAAATAATAATTAAAAAATTACACAAAAATTAAGAAATTTTAAATAGTTAATTTGATATTAATATCGATATAATTTTATCAAAATTTTATGATATCTTCAAATTTATATTTTATTCAAAAATAAAAACATTATCGCTTTTTTAAAATCACATACGACCATATTATAAAATCGATTGAGATAAAGAATAAAATGAAATATTAAAATCAAGATATATCTCGCATGCACGAATACCTTTCTAGTTTTTAATAATTTATTCATAAAATGTTAAACAGATAAAACTAGAAAAATGGGTTGAATGATTCATAAGTCGTCTAAAGTATATCATCAAATGTTTACGACTTTCTAATTTATTTTATTAAAAAATTGGATTATTATATTAATAAACAATTTTTATATCTAATACTTGATTATATTAATTGTTTATGAAATTAAAAATAATTAAAAATATTAATATATTAAAATAAAAATACAAAAAGAGTCACGAGCTTGAATGTGAATTCATGGAAAATAAATCAATTCATATGTGAATGATGTCAATTGAATTTTATTACAAGTGTAACTACATGACAAATATTCTATAATATTTTATTCAACTATTTTTTATTTATTTATTAAATCGTATTCATATTTATATATATTAACTTAGTAGAAAAAAGATTAGGTTAGTGGTTGGTTTAATCTAAGTCTGATATTTTGATCTGTCTTAACCTAACTTGATTTTCTTTTGCTTTTAAAGAATTTACTGGACTCGCGAACCTTTAGATTGGGTTTTGGGTGAATTGGATATGACATGATAGAATAATTGTTCAACGTTTGGTAAGATAAATCTTGACAAAATAGAACAAGTAAAATGATCAATTTACCCTTAATGACTTGTTTATTTTAATTAATTTATGTAATTTATTAAATTATAATAGAATAATTATTTTTTTATAACAAAATATATCATTTGAAAGTTTTCATCAAAACAATTAAAATGACACCAAATAAAAAGTTTATGTAGTTTCCGATTTTTATTTTTATCTCTTTTTTACATTATTTTTTTATCATTAATAGATGATAAATTATATAAATTAATAAAAAATATAGAAACCGTATAAAAATAATATTTTGAAGACAGTAAAATGAAAGTCTAAGAAACATAAAATACAATAAATAAAATGAAACCTATTTGACGTTTTTGAAGAGAATTAAGTTTTATTTTGAAGTTATATTGATAAAATATAAATCTGTTTCACCTTGTTTCACCCTATTCCATGGGATAGGGGTAGAACATGCTCATTCCATTCTGTTCTTGTCTATTCCACATAAAAGTCATGTCAAACATGAGAGAGAGATCTATGTCATATTCTGTCTTGTCATGTCCAGTATACCAAACGCACCCTAACTAGATTGGGTTAGAAGTTCTGGACCATGCATGTAAGTGGCTCATGAAGGCTCGAATCTTTCAGGTTCGGTTTTTAACCCTGAAAATGTTATCGAATACTTTATACATTTCTAATTTCATATGTTTTATATAGGGATGAGATAGTTGATTAATTTTTTTATTATTATTATTATATCGTTTTTTTTTAATAATATTATTTTGAATGAATCCTTTTCATGTTTGAAAATAAAGTCTCTTAAATTATTTTAAACGTAGGTTGCTTGTTTTCACCGGTCATTGTATGCATTTTTTACATTTTTCAAATGCAACTTGCTTTACTTTTATGTTTTTCAAATACACATTTGAATTGAAATGAATATATATATATATAATCAAATGAGAACTAATTAGTTTGTGATAACCATGAGGTCCAATTTCAACCACAAATCAATAGATAAATTAAGAAAAATATAATTTTGAAAATTTTGAATTAAAATTTTAATGCAATGACATTTTAGGTATTTTATCTTCTCTTTCCGTCCCTCGGCCTCCGCCCAACGTCCTTCGTCCAACGTCCTCAGGTGATACCACAGTGGTATCACAATGCATCTTATATGTGCTTGAGTATCAAATTGAGGTTGTTTGTGTGGTCGATCGGAGATGTAATACAGTAGTATCATAATGCATCTTATATGTGCTTGGGTATCACACTGCGTCTTTTGTTTAACAGAATCAATATTTTTAGGTATCACAGTGATATCACTGAAGAACAGTGACCGGAGGACGGAGAGAGAAGAGAAGATAAAAAAATACCTAAAATGTCCTTGCATTAAAATTTTAATTCAAAATTATAAATTTTCTAATTTATCTATTGATTTGTGGTTGAGATTGTATCTCACGGTTACCACAAACTAATCAGTTTTTTCTTAAATGGATACCTGTATATCTATCTCTCTCTCTCTCTCTATATATATATATATATATATATAGAGAGAGAGAGAGAGAGAGAGCGCGCGTTAAGATCATTTGTTAACCATGAAAAACTATTAACTATATAAACCATTTAAATCAATCATAAGCTTTTGTTAGATTAAGTTCTTCTATCATCATACAATTGATATTGGTGACACAATGGTAATCTTTTTGTATCTTAGGTATCTTTTAACCATTTAACACCCTAGTTTCATTTTCAATAATTAACAAACAATTATATTTCATTTTGTACTATATTATAAAAGCCTCTTAATCATCTTACACCAAACCGTTCAACAACTGCCAAATAGTCTCTAAATAACATAAAAGTGTAAAAAAAAAAAAGGAATTTCTGTAAAACTGCAAATACGATGTATAAAAACAATAAATTAAAATACAATCCATCAACAATATCCAACAGTCACTTTTGTACAAGACCCGGATCCACCAAATCAATAAAACACCCTAAAACGTGTTCATCACCCACACCCAGAAGAGCCCAGAGGACATAGCATTACAACAAAATCAACATGTTTATGCATTTAAATTAAAAATAAAAATATAAAATTCACACCATATTTCAACAACCATCATGAGTTGAACTCGACATCATCTTCGGACTCGTGAACCGCTTGAAGCGGACCGCTTCCGAAGATCGAACCATTGTCCTCCGAGATGGTATCCAGAGGCCCGTTTCCAAATAGACATACTTGTGGCTCTATCTGGTTCAAACGCCGGTACTCATCATCTGATAAACTCCAGCTAAATATGTCGATGTTTTTCCGTATTCTCTCGGGCTTCACGCTGCATGGTAATACGCTCGTTCCTCTCTGAAGACCCCATCTCAAAATAACCTGTGTCAAGGGCAAATATGTAATTACACAAATACACGATGCAAGATGAAGCTTATAAGAGGTAGAGTCACGATCATGTGAGAACAAGTGAAGACTGAAGATACCTTTATATTGTGTGAATATTGTAACTTTTACATCACCTTCATATGTGAATTGGAAGGTTACAAACTTACTAAATTTTGTGTGAACGTTATAACCTTCACACAGTATAAAGCTACCATCACATTTTCTCACGTGATCACGATAAGGGGTTGTTCTCACCAGACCCCAACCTGGGGCTGAGAAGGCTAAGATGTATGCAGGTAGATAGTGAAGGCAAAAGAATGACAACTTGCATTTGATGAATGCATAAGAAGATGATCGGAGAACATAAAGTAACCATTAAATCGAACGACAATTGGTGGTGGAATCCGGATGTGGTATTGGGCTCTTGAGGATAAAAAAGAAATCTAGAATTGCATACATGATTGTGAGAGTGTGAGGTACTAAACTACTGCCTCCATCCCAAAATAAATGTCCACAAATGCAAAAGGCAGACGGTTTTAGAAATGTGTAATTAATATTTATTATACTTTTGAATTAAGTAAATGCCAGTTTTACCCTTGATAATGGATGTAGTAATGAATTTTTCCATCTCCTAATCAAGGGTAGAATTGGAGAACTTATTTCAAGACGGACCAAAATAGAAACGTGAACACTTATTTTGGGATGGATGGACTAAAAGCTAGCTGCAACGATGACAAGAATGCAGAGCGAGAAGTCAACGGTTGAGCTTATGATGTTTTATACCAGAACCAGGAAGGAGGGAAGGAAGTTCACTCGGTGGCTAAGATCGTAGCAAGAAGTTAGAAAAATTAATTAGATCAAATTTACATCAAGGATATGAATCAAATACAAGTAAAAAAAAGGTCAGAGGTTAAGGAGAGGCAAAGAGAATCTTTGATAAGTTCTTGTTTTTCAATGGATATAACAGGTGTGTTTGGTATATGGGCGGGACTGGACATGACTGGAGGGGAGAGAGGGAGGATGTTTTCAAGGTTTCAATTTGACACGGGTAGTTTAGTAATTTACCAATCGAGTCCAATCTCCTTGATTTTGTTTTGGCATGCCCCATCCTGTCCAGCATACCAAACACCACCCAACAAGGGGAACTTGACAATACTTTTGATGACACTTAAAACATACCAACTGCATATGTTATTAAGCTTAGAAGCAATATATTGAAGGTAAGCCTAAGCGGTGAGTTACTAAGCATCACCTAACCAAACAAACCCAATACATCTTACACAAAGGTAGGGTCCCCCCCCCCCTCGGAGGTGGGGGGTGGGGCGGGATGTACGTAGACCCTTCCTCTATCCCAAGAGGTAGAGAGGCTGTTTCACCAAGGATAATACATGACTGCACCAAAAAGAGTCATTTAAGCCCATATATAGTGGTTATGGATGAGTTTGCCAAGGAGATGGAATGAAAAATCCCATGTTATATGCCCCTTCATAGTCATGTAGTGTGAGACCAAGGTTAGGTGTGGATACGAAAGATAAATGCTCTCGAATTAAAGGGTTTTAGACCAAGTACAAATAAAACAAATACACGAATTGCAAAACCACCAGAAGATGAAGACAAAGTGAGCCTGGTTAGACTGACAGCTTAGAATCAAGCAGAGGGAGCGCTCAGCTCGACTTTTGGCATCTTATCCCATATGGGTCATGATGGGTCAGGATGGTTGATCGATATGTAGCCCCCCCCCCTAGTCATATTCTTCAAAACAAAGACGTAAACATAAAAAGTGAGGCACAGTGGAAGCAAATTTACCTGTTCGGGAGTCTTTTTATGTCTGTCTGCTATCTCTGCCACCACCGACAACTTAAGCATTGGCCCATGAACTGATCTTGACCTTCTGAATGATATACGAGGTGTTCCAGGTTCATCTTCCTCACTCGATCCACTTTCAGATGGTTTAGGAGCTGAAGTTGGTACTCCTAGTGGTGTGTGAGCAGATACATGTATAAATTTCGACTGACAGAATTTTACAAGCTCATCTTGCCTCCAAAATGGATGCAACTCCACCTGCAAAACCACAACCAAGATTCAGCTATATGACCAAAGGGCCTTGGCCTAGTGGTATCATAGTCTTTGGCCTCTTAGAAGATCAGGGGTTTAAACCTGACCAAAGCCCAAAGGTGAGGAGGGTGTGTGAGTTTATTTGCTGCATTTGCCATATATAATTATTATATACTTCAAAAAGAAAAGATTCAGCTATATGTAACATTAAATATAGAAGATTTTGAAAGCCAACGCATGAAAGATGCACATGGAATAATTAACTAAATGACAATTTTACCCTTAATACAGGGAGTAATGAATTTCTCCATCTCATAATTAAAGGTATAATTGGAATGTAGGCACTTACTTTTGAAAGTGGAAACTTATTCTCGGACAAACTAAAATAGAAATACGGACAATTATTTTGGGACGGAGGGAGTATAATAATTGCACCTCAAACAAATCAGATTTTTCAATAGTTCAAGAAAAATAGCCGCTAAAAAATAACTACTGAAACATGTCCGAATGACAAATCAAAAACAAATTTGGATTTCATGTCATGCATATTATTCTAAATACTACATAAACTTAACACAAACATCTGTCACAGATCAAAATATTTGGGGATTCGGCTATGTCAAAATGATTTTTCTCCATGTTTTCCAGGTCGATTATACAAACATAAGAGATATAAGTGTACATAAATCGATAACATACTTCCTCAGAAATACAATACAAAAGTTTCAGTTTGCAATATGTGATCATGATCATGGAGGAATGTCTCATGGGATTCATTGGCAGCCAACCACAAATAATCTGAATAATTTTCGATTTCTGCTGAATTAAGTTTTAAACTTTAACCAGAACACATATACATCTTTCTCACTGTTGTAGGGGCACAAAAATTTTGAGAATTCAGGAAACCACCTATTTTGTGTAGTATTCATGATGAACAACATAATATATTCATTATGAATGCCGGGACAGATATTCATGATGAATAATATTCATTATTATTCAAGGTTATTCATCATGAATACTACATGAAATAGGTTGTTCCTGGATTCTCAAAATATTTACGGTTCCTAAATGAACCTCCCTCCACTTTTGTATTCTGTTCTCGTTATCTATCCAGGTTGGTCATAACCACAACTTCAAAATATATTGGAATCCAACATTCTTTTCAGCTTTCAGGGACTTTATAAGACAAAACTGTGATAACTACAAGCATTATGAACAACAAGAAATCAATTTTCTGCTAAATTTCTGAATGATTCAATATAAACGATTATATAAATTGATCAAAGAAGAAAAATTGGAGCCAACCTGATTGACTGCAGGGATAATTTTGGCGAATTTGAGCAGCTCTTTCATTTGTTGTATATTGAAATTGCTAACTCCAATAGCCCGAACAAGACCCAATTCAACCAATCGTTCCATTGTTTTCCATGCCGTCTTCAACTTACTCAAGAACTGTCTGTATTCAGAACCCGAATTTGCAGGAGGGTCAGTGGCATCACCAAAAGCTGAGCTCTCGGGCCAATGCATTAAATAAAGATCCAAATATGACACCCCAAGATTCTTAAGAGAAACTCTAACAGAGTTCTCGATCTTATTAGTCGAATTCATGGTACAATACAGCTTAGAAGTCAAAAAAAGATCCTCTCTTTTCAATGAACCCCTGAAAAACTCGGTCAGAGCTTCCCCAACCTCAGCCTCGTTCCCATATAGGTGGGCACAATCGATGTGACGGTATCCGACTGATAAAGCAGTTTTCACTGCCTCCACACAGAAATCACCACCACTCTGCCAAGTCCCAAGACCTATGGCAGGAATCTTGGCTCCGGTGTTCAACAGGAAATAAGTCCCTGATGCCCCAAATTTCCCTTTCATCTCTTGTAACCTTCTTGAAATACAACAAATGTATGCAAGAAAAGATGATACTGTATAGAAACACTAAAATCTCACAGCTACTTGAAGATTATCAGGTGCCAAGAGATCATTAATAACTAGAAACTTGGAGCAAATGAAAATCTCGACTAGAGAGAGAAAAAACCCAGTTGAGAAAAGATGAACCAGGAGTCTAATCGAAGAAGACAGTAAGCGATTCAAGTCAAAAAGATGAAGCTTTAAGTACCACAGAAGCGCCTGACAGATGTTTGATAAATTGTCTGAAAGAGAAATAACAAACAATACAGTGATCTTGATTGAAATTACTTAAAAGACAAACCAAAATACTGGACATGAATGATTGATCGACTTTCGACTATGCAATCCAAAACCCTGAATGCAAAAAGGCCAACAAAACGAACCTCCGATCTCTAAGAAGACTAGCAATTGGGAGAAAATTGGTTTGTAAAGACAAATTGTCAATCGAATGTACCTAAAATTGGACAAAGTATTGGTAAAGAAAAATATGGGTCAACAAGAACAGCCGACAAAGAGGAAGAAACCCCCAAAATGTAAAACAAAAACAGTTCGCTGTAAAATATAATCTAATCTAATCTCCCTCGTTTGAAATAAAGTAGTAATTATTATATCAAATAAGACAAAACCCTTGATGTCTGATACAGTGATTATCGATATCTGACAAAAGAATGGTGGGGGTAAAAAGATTCAAGGGTTAATACACACCTAAATAAGGTGGATTGAAACCAACATTCAACCAACCAAACTTTTGCGATCTTGCAACGACTGAATCTGTATGATGCAGCTTTTCAAGCAGGATATGAGGAGGAGGAAGACACTAGGAATTGCAGGCATTTGGACCGACGAAAAAGTCATAGAAGATGCACTCTTGATTTTAAATGGCGGCTGACTTCTGTTTCCATGGCGGCCAACAAGTAGGGAAGTCCAATTAATTGGTGTTTGGTGAGGTTTTCAGGTCGACCACCGTCAATAATCTCATACACTCGCATTTGAAATTTATCATGTCAAGATCCTAAATTATGTATTATGTTGATATTTGAGTTTGTGTTTGAGATTGTTTATAAAAATAACTTATTGATTTATTTTGATATGACATCGGTAATAAACACTTTTGAGTGTTGGATAAACAACTTATACCGGTATTAAACCGGTAATAAGAAGTTTTTGAAGAAATTAAACTCTTGTAACTTGTAATAAGTTGATAAGTGTTTTTGTATAAAAACATAAGTTGTTTCAAATAAGCAATCTCAAACACCCCCTTATTGGTTAAATATTATTAATTGAAATTATGTTAACTGTTACGTTATTAATCTGGTATTGATGTCATGTAAATATTTACAAATGTGGATATTGATATCTATCATTAGGTCGTGTTGTCACCAACAAACTGTGTCGTTGGCTTTTGGCGTTTTAGGTGTCAAAATCTTTCACGAAAGCATAATACCGTGTCGCTGCGTTCCAATTTGCATGTGGTTTCCCCTACATAGATTGAGGGTTTTAATAAAGTATGGATTCGATAAGATACCTAACGGGAATAATTGCAATGTGATTTGATCCATGATTACTATAAATAGAATGTTAGGGTTCCTCCCATTTGGATTTGTCGTCACATTATTCACACACTTCCAGTATGAAATAGACGAACAAGTCGTTTCATATCCTACGTGAGTTAGCTACGTTTACGCCTAACCAGTCGACAAGATTGACGCTAGGTTAGTAGGATCACACAACGTCATTGACGAGGTAAAAAGTAGAGACTTACAAGTTGAAGAATGAAACGTGGATCTCGACTGCTAAATCTTGTATCATTACATGTCGTCTATGGTTTGTGTATCGAATTGACGATAAACTTTGAATAAAAGATGACATTTTCATTTTACATGTCTTGAGAATGATAATAGATAATTCTTTCGGCTTTAGCATGAGTGTGGAGTCAAAGTTTGAATCTACACACCATCTATTTGTCTCCTGACACTATAGATGACAAAATGTCTCGTACTTGAAAGTCAATATCAAATCTGGGTTGACTGGAAAATCCTCCAGTTAAATAAGGACGAGGATTCATTGCACTTATAAATCGGGAATGGGGATAACCACGTCCCCAACCCCACGTACTAGACTTTCTATTTGTGTTTGTTAGTGTGTGTATGTATATGTTAAATAAATTGAGTATATATATATATATATATATATATATAGGATATTATAAATTATGTAATTTTAATAAACTTTATAAACCAATTTTAATTGTTCATCTAGTCTAATAAATATTTGATTTTGTTTTTGTTTTTTAATTTAAAGTCATGATCATAATGAATGGACCTTATCATTATATATATATATATATATATATATATATCAATTATAATTAACAAATCATAATAATTGTTCATAAAAATTTTAATTGTTTCATAATATAATGGTTTATATAGTATATAAGAATTAAATGGTTTATATTTGAAACCACTCATATATATGTGTGTGCACGCATCAAACCCATATGAGAATTATACGCATTTAAGAAAATAAGATAATGAATATGGATCAATTATTTTATTAAATAATCCTTAATAATTAATTCTAAAAATAAATAAGTAAGAGTATAAAGATAATTTACTCATATAAAATTTATTTAAAATTCTATTTTTATCATATTTATGATTTTAATATGATTTATTTTTTTATTTAAAAAATATTCTATATTTAATACACTTCAAATAAACATATTTAATTTTCATTTAAAGAACTAGTTTTTATTTAAAGCAAAATTTAAAAAAAAATACAATTTTCGTTAAAACTACATATGATTCACAATTAATTATTATTTTTTAAATGATTTTCTAATTACATGTGATTTAAAACTTGAAAAACAATGAATCAAATTAAACATTAAAAAGGAAAAAATAATGAAAACATAATCAGATGTGGTGTGTAGTAAAATACATTTAAAATGTAATTTGATTGATTAAAGTTTTAATAGAATATGTCGTTTTAAACATGCAATTGACATTATACAGATAAAGATGTTACGTAAAAAAAATACAATTGTGTAGAGGGGAAATCCCCAATTTCCTAACACGTTAATGAGGATGAAATCTTATTCCCCAATGAAACGGGAAACGGATAATAGGTCCCGACTCCCGAGTACCCCCAGCCCCGTGTCATTTCTACCTTACACACGATTTACCTACCCAATGAAAGTTGTGGGACTAATTCAAAAGTGACACTTTGGAGGACAATGCCACATCGTCTATGGACGAAAAGACCAGATCATTCAATCCAAACAGTGATGGATTAGTCATGGACCAGACTATGACGTCATCATGTTGGACTAGACCAGACCGCCAACCCTTAATCGGGTTCAAACTTTTTATGAGACATGCCAACAAAGATTTGATCGGTTAAAAAGCTGGACCAGGTTGGAACAACAAGGTCAGATTAAGTAACTTTTAATAAATCAAAATTTGTAAAAAAAACTTAATAAAATAATTAAAAAATATGCAACTAAAGTGATTATATTTCTTATAAATTAAAACATAACTTAACAGCAATATTAAGGGCCGTTTACCTAATCACTTACCGGGTAAACGCTTACCTGTGAAATTCAACACTATCGCGTAAGATTTTAGTCAACGAAAAACAACATTGTATGCAGCAATTTCCGCGTAAAGAACTAACGTGGTAAGAGCTGTCACTCTCACTTACCGGGTAAGACTTTCGGTCCTTGTTTCTCTCTTATCGGGTAAGATTCTTGGTCCTTACCATATTCATACGGTAAGGAAACGTAACTTGGTAAGTGTTTACCCGAGTAAGCGTTCGATAAACGGCCCCTAAATCACCAATACATTTTATGATGTATACACAAATAATGGAATGTTAATTTGTGAACATTAAGTAAATGAATAACTGTACAATTAATATGTAATAGCTATTAATAAATGAATTAAATTGATTTTTATAGACCAAAATCAAACAGGATCATAGAAAAAATAGGGTCGACCTTAGATCCTAGAACTGATAACCATTTTTCAGTTCAGGACAAGCATAACTTTTATAGCTAGTCGAACCAGACTAGTCTAGACCGTTGGTCCTAAATTAGTCTTAACCTTGCCAAAATTAGACAAGGTTGGCTCAATATTTTATTGGACCGGTTTAACCAGACTGTTGAACAAACCAGATTTTTTAAGAGACATGCCCATCTTTCCCTTTTTTTTGGAGGTAGTGACGATAGATATTTAGATGAAGTCCTTGAGTTAAATGACCATATCCCTCATTCAAATTGGTTTTCTAACAATTTATCTCCAGGGTTGACTCAAATGTCATTACATCCGTAATATATAGTCTCACAGTATTGCGGACCTAACTTAACGCCAAAAAAGAAATTCAAATTCAACACATATATGCAATTGTGACGGTAAACTGGTTGAATTTGATCCTTTTTTTTGTCTTTTAGCTAGGTCCACAATATATTACAGATGTAGTAACATTTGAGTCAGACCGGGAGAAAAATGGTTAAAACACCAATTTAGGTGTGAAAAATGATCATTTAAACTAATTTCTCTATTCGGAAGACAACTACTAGCATGCACAACACATATATGGTAATGAGGGTCAAGTTAGAAAAAGAACACTTGAAAAAGAACAAAACAACTCATCTCAACCATTCATCTATTTTAATCCAACGTTTATGAATAAACGGGGCAGTTACATTTTGTAAAAACAAAATCCACAATTATAGGGTCAGTTACATTCAAATCTGAAGCAACATATCTCACAAATACAAATCCACCATATATGCTTTATTCTACTCAACGAATCGCGTGATACTGTATGATCCCTCGTTTCGGTGGCAACTTCCGCAAAATAAACAGAACGAGAGCCGACGGTAGTATCTCCACCAACTGTTAAAAGGAAAAATAAATAAACATTATTTGAAAAAACGTCTTATAAACAAAACTGTGTTCATAAGACCCTTCTCAAAAGTCAAAAGTGTCGGTAAAAAAGTTAATATGATACTTTATTTCAAAAGTATCTTCGAAAGCATCATATCAACTTATTGTAACCCGACACAATTGTTTAATCCTATAAAGTAGTCTATTAGGATTAAATAAAGTTGTTGAATGGTTTGGTGCAGGATGATGATTAAGAGAATCTTATGATACAGTGCAAAATGAAATATGATTGTTTGGTAACTGTTCATAATGAAATTGGAGTGCTGAATGGTTAAAGAAGGCCCAAGAGACAAAAGCATTCAGAGGGTTTTACAACCATTATGAAGCAGACTTTTGTTGCCAAACAAGATTGACCTCTTAACAATTCAGATGTTGCCTCTTAATGGAACCATTAAAGAGGTAAACAAATATCCCCCTTAGACATATTTGGCGTCTTACAAAGCCGAATTTATTGTAGCTGAGAAGCCGGCATATCAAGAAAAGAAAGAAAGAAACTTACCAAATAGTATATGAAGTTTAGAACAGGATGCTCTAATACATCTAGGTTGGCGGCTTCGTTGAAGGCATTAAAGCACATCTAGTACGAAGAAAATGATTAAGAAACATTAGAATAATGTGTCGGTGATTATTAGCTTTGTGATTACAACGGGCGAAGGTCGATCATCGCATAAAAATTGCAAGAATGAGAAGGCCTCACCATGATACATCTAGCAAGGAAACACGCAAAGCAGATGGCTGTCACGTATCCAACCTGCACGAAGAAATTATGAAATTTTAAATAAGCATATACAAGGGGTTGAAATTAGCACACAGTAATACACACACACACGCACACACCTCTTGTAGCTTCTTTCGACGGCCTTTGGATTCAACAGGAAACCGCTGCAACATTAGAAATAGCCTGCACAAATTCTCCACTTAGACGAGAGAATTCTGGAAGGTTTTAATTTTAACATGGGTAGTTTGATAATTTACCAATCATGTCACACCTCTCTTATTTTTGTTCCACCTACTTTGGTCGGACAGAAAAAAGGGGTAGGCTAAATAGCCGTTTACCGAGCGCTTACTTACTAAGTCCCATTATCTTACCGGATGCAAGGACCAAGAGTCTTACCTTGTAAGAGTGAGGCAAGGAACCGAGAGTCTTACCCGGTAAGTGAGGGCGATGACTCTTACCATGGTTAACGCTTACCGAGTAAATTGTTGCATAAGATGCCTTTTCTCGTTGACTAAAATTTTACCCGGTAAGCAAGTGACATTGTTGAAATTTACCGGTAAGCGCTTACTGGGTAAGTGTTTGGTAAACTGTCCCTAAATGCACCCTTGTAGATTGCTAAAAGAACTCCTACCTACTAATTTCCTCCTCACACACTCACTTTTTACATTTTCAATGCATTATTTCACTTGATTCTAACATCAATAGGGGTGCATATAACAATACTCAGAAAAAAATGGCATTTTTGTCTCTCCCAATCTATTTGTCACACCAAACATGGGGCAACAAGTTTTTGTACGATCCTATTTTATCCCGTGTTGCGTACCAAACGCACCCTAAGAGACAAATAGAAGTATTATAAGTACCTTCCACCATAGAGAAGAAATCCCAAGGCTGCAAATAAAGAGACCCCTGAAAAAGAAAAGTGCAAGTCAACTTCCAAGTTCCAAGAAAAACAACACTTCTAACGATATAAAAACCATTCAACCGGATTGTTAAGACCATAACACCTGCAAAGAAAACCTTGGAGACGATCACCAAGATTTGGATCGGCTTCCACCAGATTATTAACCACAGAGCAACCTGTAACGGTATATAATTAAATATCGGTTAACCATTTACTCTAGAATTCCAACAAAACAAAAGTGCCATGGCCCATAATAAGTAAATCCTAAGTTTTCACAAAGTTGGCTAAATAGTCCTATCTGGCTAGCTTTTTCTAGAATGGTGATAAGCTTAATATGGCATTTGTAGATCTCTCTCCCATGAGAATATGTAAGACTTGATCAGTTCTTGTAGGACCGACTGTTTAAAAACCTTAAGATACCATTCACATATGAATCTTTAAGAAAACCTACCACATAAACCATTTCTTTCGGTACACTCGCCTCTTGGACAGTGATGCCTAAGGCACCTTGCTCAAGTGAGAAGACACTGAATTATACTCATTGCCAAAATAAATGTCCATAATGAAAGAGGCATGCAGTCATAGAAATGTGTAATTGTTACACTTTGTATGTTATTGTTTACCCTTAACCAGCTTTTCAAGACTTCATCTTATCCGTCTTTATCCCTTCGTCACACTTTTCGTAAGGAGGGTGTCTTCACGGAAACAGACGCTCTACTCTTTGGGGTAGAGGTCAAGTCTGCATGCATCTTACCCTCTGCAAACCCCACTTCCAGGTGGGATATACTGGGTTTGTTTGGTTTGGTTTGGTTTGGTTATTAAATGAACCATTCAATGTGTCTTCTTTAGCTCCCTTTGATCCCCTCTTAAGCAATTAAGTGCTAGGTCAAGAGCAAAGCTATACTAAATGCTTTCAAGAACGCTAACATAAGTAACAAAATGCAGCCTTGTGTTAGAAAACAAGATAAAACCAAGTTATTAAGGTTATCGAATGACGCAATTGGTAAATAACGGACATCTTGTTCATTTATTGCTCTAAGCCCCTATATCAGCAAGCACTCATTTCAGTCATTTGATGTCATCGTTTTCCACATCTCTAGCAGCAAGAATGTAAGAACGCTTTCTCGACAATATAGAACAAAAGGGCAAGGAAGATGCTAAACAATCCATTTAAGACACACATGTATTCGGCTCAGGTTTCCACATAAGCATCGATCAAGACTCTGCAACTTCTTTTCAAGTATATAATATATATACGGCAAAACTCACGCGTACTCCTCAGCTTTGGTGAGGCTTGAACCCTATCAGCTTTGGTGAGGCTTGAACCCTACAGGTAACTCGGGTACCGTTGGGCCAATGACCCTTTGGTAAACCTCCTTTCAACTTCCAAGAAATGAACAAGAATTTTACCTGAATTGCATAAACAACTCCATTGATTATAAAGAAAGCTGGTCGGAGGCCATCAGTTGAGACCGTCCTTGCCTGTCAAATATCCATATAATTGTAAAGTAAACAAACAGCTTTTTTAACAATAAACACCAAAAACAATAAATAATAAACAAAGAGGAAAAAGAATATAAATTAACCTGGTAGTAAATTTCTGCCCAAAACAAAACCAAGAGGACATAGGTAGTGAAAAATGCAAGACTTGGCAAATCAAGCAGCATATGTCGGGCAATCTGACAAACAAACATATTCAAGCAAAAGAATCGACACAAATGATAGAGTCATCCATACATAAGGGTGCATTGGTACGCAGGTAGCCAGATAGTCGGGTGAAAGAACTGTGCAAGGTTTTAGGGTTTTAATTTTACACGGGTAGTTTAGTAATTTACTAATCTTGCTCCATCTCCCAGATTCTTGTTCCACAACCAAACTTGGGACAACAAGTTTGTGTTCTATGTTCTCCGGCGTACCAAAAGCACCCTTAGTGACTAACTTAAGCATATTACTAACCTCAGGTGTCAACTGTTGGATATCACGACGAAAAACAAAAATTATACATCTAGCTGCATTGAAAACACATCTAAAATCAGTACAAATCAAACAAGAAAGTTCCTAAAATACAATTTGAACAAAAAAGAAACCAAAATATACAGACCCCCATTAACCAAGAAATTGAGGAAATGAAAGACCTTCTGGGTCGTCCAACCATACTCTGGCACTCTTTGTTGTATCCTAATTAATTGTACCTGCAACCATCCAAATCGTTCACGATCATGAATTATAATCGAAGATTCAAGAATCCTCACAATGAACTTTAAACCCTAAACTGCACTCCAATCCAATTGATTCCAAAGGGAAGCTATCATGAACAAAATTGAAACCTTTTTTGCAAATTTAACACCAACAATAATCTGTTTAAATCTTTAATCCGAGTAACAAAAGCATTTATGACTAAGATTTCCAATCAATTGTTCATCATACAACCAAAAACTTCGTTAGCTTCAAGTGGAAACCCTATAAATACAAGATGAGCAACTCGAATTATATTTCAACTAAACATAACGAATTATAAAATCAAAGATGACATATAAAATAAATGCAAAATCACCATCGCAACAACGGCAACGATTCCATAGAGAGCAGCAAGAACATGGAAAATTCGATCTTGCCAAATAGGGGAATCGTTTAATACATCCCACAAACTATAAGAGTCTTTGAGGGTGTACATCATCACCGAAGCTTCAGATGGGCCCATCGCGGCCCCACCCATCACCGGGAATCCCGTTGCTGCTGATAAATAAACGTCCGGCCTTCAAGATCTTTCCGGAAAAATAATAAAAGGTCTTAAATCGGATCAAAATTTCTTCTTTTTTTCACTTCAAATATGATGGAATCAGAAGAAAATTGATGTATTTGAAATAATCGGTTATTTGTACGTAAAGGGGATGGGGGATTCTGCAATCGGAAGTTGAAAAACCGCCGGCAAACGTAGGAAGAAAGGGAAGAAGGTATGGGGACAACGTGACGGAAATCCAGCGACGGCCCGGGGGTTGTTGCTTTGTTGGATATACGTATAGACTTATATCTCTATCTTTATAATTTATTTTAAATATGAAAAACGTTATATTTAATCGTAACAGATTTCAATATTAAAAAATACTTTATAGATTCTATCTGTGCTATATTATGAAATATTTGATAAAAATTATTAAAAAATATTAAAAAATATTTTTTATACATGTCATTTAAAATTTAAGATTACAAGTAAATTATAAGTAAGTACAACTTATTAAAATTTTATTTTTAAATGGAAAAATTGTACCAAAATGGAACCAACTTTCACCTGATTTTTATTTTAAGAAAACAACTTTCAAAATCATCATTTTGATGAACCATCTTGTACCTATTCCTATTTTGAGGAACCAACTTTCAAAACCGTCATTTTGAGGAACCAACTTATACCTGATTCTTATTTTGGGGAACCAACTTACAAAATAATTATAGAAAAATAATTAAAATTCGTTTTTTTTTTCAAAAACTAATGCAATAAAATCTATTTTTCGTTTCAAATCTCGTTTTTTTTAAATTCAGATATCAAATTGAAGATTTTTTTAAAAAAAATCCAAATTACCACAATAAAAATTGTTTTTTAGCAAAAAAAATCAATTTAATAAAAAAATTAATTGATGCAATAAAAAATAAATATTAAATATCACATTCAAGATTTTTAATCTCTATTAAAAATCTTGAATGTGATATTTAATAGATATAAAACCATGCAAATTCAAAAAATAAAATAAAAAGAGAGAAAGGAAACGTATTGACATTTCATTCCGCAAATAGACTTGTACGGGTGTTATCAACTTTTAGAACTAAACGTATGAAATCTTCAACAACAAAGTTTTCCGATTACCACAGAGCATATAACAGTTCAACAATCCGATAACGAATCAACCTTCAAAGGTTCGAATTTTAGCCCCAACAACACAACAAAACGAAAAACCCAAACATAATTTAAACATCTTCAATCCTTTGTGGTCCTGCGCCACGAGTGTTCGCGAGCCCCGTCTTTGTCCACGATCTTGATGACGAAATTCTGCGGAGCCACAACCAGTCTGGACCGAATTTCCTCGATGCACTGCTCGGCCAGCTTGATGGCTTCCTCCACCGTCATGTCGGGATGGTAGTGGCGATCCATCATCGCCAGGGAGAAGTACGAGCCGTAGCCAAAAGCTGCCTTGTCGACCTTGTGCAGGGTTGCGATGTAGTCGATGAAATATATAGATGGGCCTGTTTCTTTGTCGTAGCCGGCTAGCACGATGTTGACCATATAAGGATTCTGCAAGATGAATATAGCTTACAGGTGAGTAATAGAAATCATTTGGCCTGATCGAAGTACTTCGCTAGTTTGGTATGCAGATGGCATTGAATAAGACTGGATGAGCGAGAGTAAGGTAGCATTTGAAAGAATCCCATAAGGTTTTAGGGTTTTAATTTTATATCGGTAGTTAGTAATTTATCAATATTGTCACATCTCACTGATTTAGAAAAAAAAATGCATTTTTGTCTAACTCGGGTCCTAGTCATGAGTTATGTCTGGATTAACAGTTTGATGATCTTAATGGGGCTCACAGCTTATTCAGTCAGCTATCCATTACTGTTTGGTAGTGGCTTAATGATATAGAAAGAGGCATATTCGGTAAGCTTATAGGAGGAGCTTTATGCAGAAAGCCAAGTTTTCTCCAAACCTGCTCCTCCCAATTAAAAAACACGCTTTTTCTATATATGAAAAAACTCTCCCAAACACAAACACAAACACTCCCAATCTACATACACAAATTAATCCACACAATCGGCTTTATCTATACAGGACCTGATGGAACCAACCAAGCAGCCCCTCACTCCCATATGCGATTGAAATGCACACATAGGCTGACAGGCACATAGCACAAGGGATTCCTAGAAGTAGCTGAATCACAACATGCCATTTCCTGATTGTGCAAATAAAATACGAGTGGATGGATTTCGTGATGGAAGAGACCGCGTAGAGAGAATATCTCTGTTTGTGATCAGATGATTGGTTGACTGGAATCAAATCAACATCAAGTTCAGAAGGACAAATTTACGTCATCTCATTCCAGCTAAAATGTACAAAAACTGAAAATCACTGGTCAATCCTCTAATCTTTCACACATAATATGTTTAGTAGTCAGAAGGAGCAGGAAGTGATAAAAGTGTTTTAAGTTTCATTCCATCATTCTAAGTGATGGAATCAAAGAAAGGCTGATCCAACAAGGATGGACCCGTTTCTTTGTCGTAGCCAGCTAGCATGATGCTGACCATATAAGAATTTTGCAAGATAAATATAGTTGAAACCATCTGGCACGACCGAAGTACTTCTCTGAGGTTGGTATGCGGATGGGACTGAACAGGACTGGACGGGTGAGAGTAAGCAAAAGAGAGGAGGGCAGCCTATACCGAGAAGAAAGGTGTGGAACATCTTGGATTTTGATATTCAAGGGATAATCATCAATGATATTTCTTATAATTTGTGATTTATAATGATCCAAGGTGTCAGAAAATCAGCAAGATCAACAGCAAAACCATTTTCTTGATCAGGTGGCCTATGGAATATATCGAGGGAATAAAAAAGAATTCACATATGGTGTTCACAAGCAAGATAAGGCATATGGTATAATGAGCACAAAAACATGTGACTACAAAGTGGATGCTTTCACTACTACCATTGGTTAAACCACAGATTTAGAGTTGAGTGTCATTGTCTTCTTGTTTTAGTTATGACAAGGCACACAAAGGGCATACGATGGTGTACCCTTTTCGTCATTTGATATCATGTTCATTAATTTGACTAGGCAAAGTTAATGCAAAGTTGAATAACAATATAAGGATTTTATGAATAATATAATATGTTATGTGATCTTCATTTACTAATTCAGATTATAAGGCATTAAGTAACGTCAATACTTGGAATAAAATATTGTTAACACTTGGAAGCAACACAAGAATTTACATGATATTTTCACATATAATCCCATTTCAGTTGTTCTTCACAATCAAACAAACCCTTCAAAATGAATTAGGAAATGGTGAACAAGTTGATGTCAAATACAAAAACCTAAATTAGCATTTGAGTGAACATTTTTTAATCTTCAATTATGTGATAATAGAATAACAATAAAAAGAACACTGCTATGAGCTTCAGAACTAATATAACAAACCCATCTGATTGATGTGAAGATAACAGAATACATGAATACAGAATTGCTTTCTTTCGATAAAAGAAAAAAGATTATACCTTTCTCAAAGCTGTGGCAAGCTCACCGCGCATGAAATTTGCAGCAGCCTTGGTAGTCAGCGGAATCCCATTTCGGAATTGATACAGAGATACATTTTTCTGTACATATTCCGTGAATTGAGCTCTAGCAATTAAAAGAAAAAGAAATCAAACCGGAGACAGTTAGAAAATAACCCCTGGTAACATAGCATGTAACTCACAGTAACTCATAACAGACTAATTTTCTAGGTTGTAACAGAGTGAAAAGTAAGGAGAGATAAACTGAAACAATCCCCTTCGGTAAAACAAACCGACATGCCCTTGGTTATCCAATTCGCATTTATCAACAATCCCCCATTCAAGGTTGTGTCCACATCATATGCCAATCAATCATGCCCATATCCACTACTTATCCATGTTAGTTATGGCTTATATTTACCATGGTTTGGAACTCTGCATAAGTCACTCACCCATATCTTTTCCCTCACTGTCAGTTATGCTCTGTTCTCGAGTCTTTTTTTACGAACTAAAGGGAGGGAAAGGGAAGGAAAGAAGGGGGGAAATGAAAAATATCTTGTGTTTCTCAAATTTTTTTAAGGAGGGAAAGGAAAGGCAAAGGAAGGAAAATAATGTTGATTGCCATCCAAAACTTTCCTCCCAAACGTGGGAAGAAAGGAAAGGAAAGGAAATGGAATAATTAAAAACAATTAAAAATATTTATAAAATTACACATCTACCCATCAATTACAATCTGCTTTAAAAAAATAAGGGTACAAATGTAAAAATGACATGTTTCCTTTCGTTTCTCTCCTGCTTAAGAACACGAAAAATTTATTTTCTTTCCTTCCCTTTCCTTTCTTTCCTTCACTCTCAAGAACACAAACAAAAAAAAATTATTTCTTTTCTTTCCTTTTCTTTTCTCTTCCTTTCCCTTCCTTCCCTTTATTTTCTTTTCTTCTCAAATTCAAGAACACAGCGTTAATACACCAGCCATCTAGTCTAATCAAATTCTATCTTTGTGCTACTACACCCAACCTTGAACAGTTGCAGTTGTCATGCACTGGTCTTCAGCTAAAACAAAATGACAGTGCATGTGTCAGCTTTAAACCTTAATGATCAATTCTGGGATTTTGATTCAGGTAGCTGGACCACTAAAGTTGATAAATTCCTTGATAGTTGACACTATCCTATTATTTGTACAATAATCTGAAAGAACATCATGTACAACAGAAAAAACAGAAACATCAGTATGATGTCTTCTAATCAATCCCATAAGTACATAGACCAACCAATTCTAGTTTAACATTATCGTTATCTACCAACTATTCATACCATTCATGTGGTATACATACTCAGCTTTTGGGGTCAGATAGGATGTGACTGTAGGCCAATTAAAGGTAGGAGAAGATTTTGTTGCCGGACATGCTTGCCGGACAAGTAACCAATAATGTCATTCTACATCTTAGATCAAGGTTCTTTATAAATACCATATTATTGTTAATGGATTTTTTAGCCAGGCCAAATAGTGAATTGGGGTACAAGCCATGGTAGACCTCAACAAAAGCAAGGAATTAAATATCATAATCAAACCAAAACACTTTTCTATTATCAGTAAGACTAGTTCCTCAACATCAACTAGATTATTATTGATATTTTACACTATGAAATAAATGTATTACATTTTTTAATATTAATTTTTCTTAACAAGTAAACAGAATACATCCATCTAAAAACTTATTACGATAATTTCCATGCACCTTCACATTGATATATAAAACGTGATTTTTGGTAATGAAGCTATGAAAATAACTGCACCTTGAATATCGATGAGTAGGAGTGCTCATGGGTTTGGTTGATCGGGTTGAAGGCATTTGAACAACCCAACCCAATGTTTTTTTTTGAAGTATATAATATTTATATATGGCAAATGCAACAAATAATCACACACCCTCCTCACCTATGGTGAGGTTTGAACCCCTGACCTCCTAGGAGGCCAAAGGCTACGATACCAGTAGGCCAAAGGCCCTTTGATACCCCAACCCAATGTTTGCGGTTTGAAAAATCTCAACCCATAGTGGAGGAATAAAATCCCCTTGTGGCCACGGAGGTTCAAATGCGGTGACTCCGGGCTATCTGCAAAGCAGGTGGTCGCCCTGGGATTAGTCGGCTCGCATAGCGGGTTGGATATCCAGGTTAATCAAAAAAAAAAAACTCAACCCAACCCAAACCAAACCATACGGGTTGGTCGTGTTGATACTTTAGCACATCAAAATATTCTAGTAACCTCGAATACGTTATTTTCTCTAGTCTACTCATAAGTTCTTTTTCATCATCAACCATTTAGTACAACTTATCCATACTTCTTAAATATTAAGTATATCACATTCAATTAATTTTCTTAATTTGAGTGTGTGTGCACAGTTACTGAACATATATACAAATGAGTTACATACAGATGGAGAATAGATTGAAAAAATATATGTATATGAATAGCGTACGTGACGGTGTAACTGTCTAATGTACATATTAATAGAGACTCAACAATCATATAAAATCCAAGATATAAAAGGATATCGGGTTCATTGGGTTGGGTTGGGTTCTACAAAAGTAACACAATACCTACAATTTGAAGATTTTACAACTCGATTAGACATCGAGTTGCTTCGGGTTGAGTTATTTCGCATTGGGTTGGGTTGGGTTGGGTTGGTCGGGTTTTTGAACACCCCTATCAATGAGAAAAGATGTCTGACAATCAATAACAAATCAACTCATCTGCATATGGTTTAATGAAGATACCAAATGCCCCATCAATAAAGTGAGGGCTTTCAGGACCTTCCCCACCCCTACTCAAGTAAACGGATAAATGGTATGTCAATTTATACTACTTTTACTAAATTATTAGTTACAAATCTGAGTAAAAAAATATTTGTGTTCTTTTTAACAATGACCAAATAAAATATACCAAGAAAATAAAGAAAAGATAGAGAAGAAAAATACTAATCAATCAGTTTTGTGCAAGGTAAAGTAATTTATGTTATTGCTAGAGCAATTATTTTAACAATTAGTTTTGGATCCTATTTAACAAGAAAATTGAAAAAAGAATTATATGGAGAAGATAGATTTAATTCCATGTAAATCCAATAAATTGTCTCCCCTTAATTTTGCTTCATTAATTTTTATAATGTTTTTACTATAATTTTTCAAGCTTCAGTTGCATCCTACAATTTAAAAGGACATACACTGAAATTGTTTGTATACCATGATTTCTAAATAATGTACAAGTTCAAAACCTTGTCCTTATTGCACAATTTGTTAACTTTTTACTTCATTTTAAATGATAATCTAACGGCTCATCTGATTTTTTTTATTAAAAGAAGTTATGCCTGGCTAAAGAAGTCAGTAAGGATCTTATATAACAGGCTCTGTCTTGAATAAGTGGTTTGAATGCCAAGATTTTCAAATGAGAGAAGACTCATAGATTAAGTCATATATGAAGGTTGTGACTTATCAAATAAGTCATCCAACCATTAATTCCATCAAGTCCTGATCAAGCACCACGTAATTACCTAAATGGAGTCGAAGAGAAGGTGAACCAGCATAAACTTCCCAAAGTTTCTTTCTATTTTATCTTTGATTAGAAGCTCAAGACCCCAAAACCATAACAAAAACGATTAAGGGGCTGCTTACCAAATGTTTACTACCAGCAAAGGTCACCACCCTCACTTACCTTTATTGTGTAACATTTTCGGCCATCAAAATGTATTGTTGGTAAGTGTCCCTAACCAAGTAGGTGCTAACCTGGTAAGAGTCTTCTCCCTACTTACTCGGTAAGATTCCCTGTCCTTGCTATGTCTCTTACCGGGTAAGATTCTTGGTTTTGCCATGCTCACCGGGTAAAGTAAGTGACACCAGGTAATAGTTTGGTAAACGATTACCAAACTATTGTCCTGTATGCATTTCTAATAAGATATCTACTCCAAACAATTATGATGTAATTACACTATGGCTTATAATCTCAAGCTTAGTATCTTTCACATTCAAAAATAGTATGAATTTTCTTACAAATTTAACACAAATCCTAAAGTATTGTTAACACCAAGTTAATATGGCTAAGATTTCTTTTTTTCAAATTTTCAACATCCATTTCAGTTTTAAATATAAACTAGGAACATATTGAAACAAAGACAGTACTCTTACGACTCAAAAACCCTAATTTCCCTCAAATTCAAAACCCTAGGTCAACATATGGTCCTCTCATTACGCGTCTTGCAGGTTACCTTAATCACACCCATCCCAATTTGAAAGTGCATCTATGCATCACGAACATACATGTATTGTAAAACTCATTAAATTCAAATCGAAAAAAAAAAGGAAAAAAGAGACAGAAATCCCACCGATCACCAGCTTCACCGCTAGCGCCCATGAGCTTGTGAGAATCAAGAACCATGATCTTGTCTTCGTTAGATTTGTGAACTAGAATACTGTTAACCGCCGATGTATCTGCTACCACCAAAGCAAACCCTTTCCCCACCATCCCAAAAACACATTCCATTTTTGTATCGTTGATCGATCTCTCTGAATCGGCAAAGTATAGCAGAAATTTAGATGAATTGGGGGGAGTATATAATTATAACGAGGGGAAGTGACTTGGAGAAGAAGTGAGGATTTGCTGACCCGCCAACGAACGGACCAGGCCTTCGGGTACTCATGAACGAGGCCCATATTAGACCTCAGCCCACTAAAAACCCGTTTTAAACGGGTCGAACCAAGTTATACCGGATCGTTTTTTATGGTTCAAATGGTCCAATTAAAAAAAAACGTCCACGATACTACGGTTTTTGTTTTCATTTTTCAATTGGTCATGATATCAAAATTTCGAAATACATCGAAAACCAAATCCAAAAATTTTAAATCGTCATTCGACTTGCTCAATATTTGTCCATAATTCAACTGTTGTTGGTGTGCTTGTTTTAACTTTTTTCCAATTTGTTCAATGTTATTTTTTAAATTTTATATACAAACGTTTCTTTTGAATTTTTCAATAATTGTTATATCGATAAAAATTTCATTTTTGGATATAAATGTTATGCTTTTTCAGTTTAAAATCTATAGGAATCCCAAACCACCTAAATCTATCAGACCAACCCGTCTTTTTATGGTTCAGTTTGACCAATTTAGTCATTTGCACCCAAATTGCTCGGTTGAAACCTTCTTCTGCATATTATGCGTACGTATGCATATGTATATAATTGGTCTTAGAGATGCATAAAAGGGAAATCCAACTCGAAAAAGCTTGGGCCTAGTAAGCCTAAACCCAGCCTCAAGCCAACGCACACCAAAAAGATTGATCGTGTCGACTACTTTTTTCAGAGTTTGTTAAAATGTGGTCAAAAAAACCAATGAAAGTCTAGAAAGAAAAAACAATTCTCGTTTTCGCAATAAAAATGGACTTGAAAGGTGATCCTTGTAAAAATTTGAGCCTTATGCATCGCTGGTTAGTTATGATGGCGATGATCGTGTGAGAATAAGAGTTAAGATGAGAAACATAATAAATGATCTCTTTTAATCTCACACCCACCTCATAAATTGCACTTCTCATGAAAATTGATCTGATGATCTCATTATGGTTGTTCTTTTATTAAGACTAATCTAACGGTGAAGATCTCTTCTTACCATTCGCAGTATTCAGTGGAACCCGACCTTGATCATAATTCAATCATTCAGTTAAGAAAGTCTTAAGCTATAATTTTGTGTAATTATGTTATCATTAATTATTATTACAATAAGACTTCTTGATCATTTCCAATGGGATTCAACAATATTTATTCGGAAATCCTTGTTTGGCAAGTAATAAACCAACTTCGGGGCTGTTTACTAAACACTTACTTGGTAAGTGCTTAACGCATACATTTATTCATCGGATGAACATGAGAAGGGTCAATAATCTTACCGGGTAAGAACAATGAGAATAATGGAGAGTCTTACCCGGTAAGTGAGGGTGACGACTCTTACACAAATAAGCGTTTACCCAGTAAATTGTTGCATTTGATATACTAAAATCTTACGCATCAAAATAAATTATAGTGTTGACTCCTAGTGGTAAACGCTTACCGGATAAGCATTTGGGTAAACGGCCCCTTAAAGCCTCTCCAAAGAGGTATGATATTTTTGAAATGTTGGAGATCTGGGGAAAAAATTGTTCCGACAGCTATGTTAAACTATCTTTTGAGATAGAAAAAAGAAATGAGAGATAATGAAAAAATCTTCAAATTTGGGGAAAAAAAGAAAATACACAGCAGAGATAAATCTCCAACAACTATGTTATAATGAAAGTATTGGTGATTTCATGAGAGTTTTACACTCCAATATTTATGTTATATTGTATGGTAAATTGGAAAAAAGGAAGAGATGATATGAAGATTTTGAGAGTATCTCTAATAACTATGCTATGATTTTTCTAAAACAAAGTATCAAAAGTTAAAATATTTAAAAAAAAAACTGATAGCAATTCTATCATTAACTATATTGTTAAAATATCAAATACATTTAATAAAATATTATTTATCTTTTATAAACATTTATTTTATGTCTCATGTTGGTGTCATTTTAATTGTTTTGACGAAAACTTTATAATGATATTTTTATCATAAAAATAATTATTCTATTATAATTTCATAAATTACATAAATTAATTAAAATAAATAATTTATCAGGGATAAATTGATCATTTTATTTGTTTTACTGTATTCAATTTTTTATCCTATCTGTCTAGACACCAAACTCATTCTAAGAAATAATTTCCTCAAGAAATCCATGAGTTGCATATTCAAAACTTTTTTTTACGTAAAATTACAAATATGCCCAAAAAAAAGGTCTCCAACGCTATTTCCACGGGTTAAACGGTTATTGCACGTGAAACCATTCAAATGATAAAGTTAAAAGTTATTCAAAGTTAAAAAAAAAAACAATTTTTTTATTTTTAATATTTATATATTTATTATATTATTAAAACAGGTAAAATACGTGAAATAGTAATGTATTTTTATAAAATTTTCTATTATAGTATTTTACATTTAATTTTTCTTATTAAAATAATGTAGTTTTAAAATATTTTTTATTAAGGTATCGTATTTTAAAATTTTTATCTGTTATAGCATTGAGTAACATTTTAAACTAAATTTACTTATTATGTTAGGTTTCATTGTCATCTCATCGTCCCTGTAGGCTGTCCACATATAAGATAGTGCTGACATGACATTTTTATTTATCATAACATTGTATTTTCTTTATTATAACATCACCAATTTCTATTACAACATTGTACTTTTAATTTTAACATTTTTATCATTTAAATATTATAAATTTAATCAAATATATTTACTAAAAAATATAACAAATATTATTTAAGACTAGAAGAGTACTCGCGCAATGCAGCGAGACACATCTTGATTTTAATATTCCATTTTATTATTTGTCTCTATCGATGTTATAATACGATTTTATGCGTTTTAAATAAAACAATAATGATTTTATTTTTGAATAAAATATAAATTTGAAGATATCATAAAAATTTGAAAAAAAATTATATCAATTTTAATATCAAATCAACTATTTAAAAGTTTTTACTTTTTATGTAATTTCTTTAATTTTTTTTTATTATAATTTAATTTAAGTTTAATAATGAAATAGTTTATTTTTGGTTTAATAATATAACATTTTATAAAAATAATTAAGTATTATGTTAGAACTTAATGATTATCCTAATTATATTTTAGATTTTTTATATTTAAAATGAGATGTTTATTATGTATTTGATTATGTTTATCTGCAGTTAGTTACACGAATTCAGATATGGGGCTTTAATAATTGTACTAATGCACAATCTACTTGTAATCTTAGGTAATAAGTAATATGCATTAATAAACAGTATTTTATGCAAAAAAATGGGTTTTAAGAGTTTTTTGTCAAATGCTTTATAATATAGTATAGATTATGTGTTTTTAATAAAAAAATAATGATTTTATTTTTGAATAAAAATATAAATGTGAAGATATCATAAAAACTTGAAAAAAAAAATATCAATGTTAATATCAAATCAACTATTTAAAAGTTCTCATTTTTATTTAATTTATGTAATATATTTTTTTATTGTAATTTAATTTAAGTTTAATAATGAAATAATTTATTTTTAGTTTAATATTATAAATTTTATAAAGATTATAATTAAGTATTCTGTTAGAATTCAATAATTATCCTAATTATATTTTAAATTTTTTATATTTAAAATGAGATGTTCATCTTGTATTTGATGAAATCGGATAGGGATGAAATCAGATAGGGATGAACGAGTTTAGGGATGGCTTTAATAGGTTGTACCATTAGCAATCGATGTTGTCTTTAAAAGTTTAAAAGTTTTTAAGAGTTTTAACCAAATGCTTTATAATATAGTATAGATTATATGCGATTTTATGGACAAATTCAGTTGCAAGATGCATTTCTTACAACGCCTCGTAAACCAAATCTGCTGGTCAACAAACAATCCAGATACCAGATTTGTAGTTCACTCTCTGGAGTTAATATCAATGGGGGCCTCTCTTCCAGTTTCTTGATCATTCATTTACATCGTTTTTTAATCCCATTCATTCATATCAACAACACTCACCCATTTGGCTCATCACTAGTAGACAAGAAGGTCTGTAGCCCAACACATGTACCGCTGATTGATTGCTACCCTTTTGAAATCCGTACAGTGGTGGGGATTCTTTCCAGTCATCTCTGTGTTTTGCCCACAATAATCGCTACATTCCATGCTTATTAGGGTGTTTATGGCTGCCGATTTGTTAATTATACACCATTAATGAAGGACTCTGCAAATGGATTACGAGAAGATAAACAAGAATCCACCGCAGGTGTGTGTGTGTGTGTGTGTATTTTAACTATAAGCATTTCATTAGCCATTGATGCAAATTTTTTTATCCCTTTCCCCAATCTAATCAAAACCCCTATCCTTTTCATTATCTACATTTTGTTAATTGATTTGTTTCTCGCACCTCATTCAACCTACGTCATTCACCCTATTTTGATCTGTCAGATCTGTAACATTATCCCATCGTTACAAGTTATTTCCGTCAGTGAAATCGAGTTGGGCTATCGCTTTCTCTCACTTCTAACATCTAACCTTGCCTTAAAGTTGAAGTGACCCATGTGTTGAATACGTGATTTTGATTTGGGTTTGGTTTGTTTTTCGTTTATATTTGATAATAAATCTTGCCGGCAGGGAAGTGGAGGCGGAGGCGGAGGCGGAGGAGGGTTGTCTCCGGCGAAATTGAGGAGTATGTTGAAGAAAAAGAAGAAGCAAGGAGAAGATGAGCTTGAGTCTACTACTTTCTCTTTGGGATCTCAAGTTTCTGAGATTGATGACTCAGGTATTTCTTATTTCATCGTTTTTATGAATGATTTCGTGAACCAATTGGGTTGTGGCCTACTTGTTAAGGCTCCAGGGATGTAGTGGAAATCTCATCTTCCCGGGGTTCGAATCCGGGCTATCAAAGTCCTTGTGGCCATGGAGGTTCACCTATGCCATTCGCGGTCGGCCAAGAGTCCGTGGAAGCTGATCCGAATATACACGATTACCAAAAAGAAAAGAATGATTTAGTGGAGTTTCCATTTTTTTAATGGAAAAAGGTTGTGTAGAAAGGAAAAAACACTTGGGATTCTTCTGTTGATCTTGACTTTTTTGTTTGATGATGGCTTCATAAGACACTTTTTTGACCATGATTGATTAAAGACTTAAAAAACTTTAAACTTATACATCATTAGGACTTCTCCTATAGATGGAACTTATTGGCTTTCTATGGGGAATTTTATATAAAAAACTCTTTTATGTTATTGGTTGTTTTGTTGATCATTGCGTACACAAATTCGGTTTTTTTGTAATGATTGTTTGATATATGCAATTTAGGTGATTCTTTAGAGAATTACAGAGATGTTGATGTAGTAAGTGTACTTCCTGAACGTGTGACATCGTCCACGGCTGATATGTTGGTAGTAGGAGCTCATAACGACTACAGATCAAAGGATCACACGTCGTTCAATTCAAGAATTGGGTCCCAAGATGATGGTTATCTGGACTATGAAAGTGGGATTGATAAGGTGAGTGCATCACCCTTCGAGTTTCAGAAGGCTGAGCGGGCCTCTCATAGAAAGCCTATGGCTCCATTCTCTAAACCAGCTCCATCTAAATGGGATGATGCCCAGAAGTGGATAGCTAGTCCCACATCAAACCGTCCAAAAAATGAGCAGTCTTTGAAGAAAAATAGTCATGGCGGCCATGGAAACCGGCAACCAATCACTAAGGTGGTGGTGGAAGTTCCTGATCAAAGATTAGCTATTTACGAAGAGCCTGATACCAAACAGATTGATTTGAGCCATTTCGAGGAGAATGAAGGGCAGTATGTGGGTTGGGGGAGTGATCCTATTCCTTCTACAATGACTGATTCATATAGCAAGTCGGTTATGATGATTGAAGATTGTGTTGGTGATTCAGCAAGTAAGATCTCTTGTCATTTTGTTTGGGGGAAGTTCAAATGAGAACCATAAGTATTTGGAGAGCATGGAAACCAACTATTTCATGTATTATTCATAATGAATAAACCAATTATTCATCATGAATATTATGTATTTTCATTATGCTTGGTGTTGTTGTAACACAAACAGTGGTTTAAATTGTTTCTTAGTTTATGTATTATTCATGATGAATAACCCTGAATGATCATGAATATTCATCATCATGAATATCATGCATTTTTATTATGCTTGGTGGTGTTCTGACACAAACAGTGGTTTAAATTGTTGCTTACTTACTCCTCTGCAGTTAATTTGAGTCGCCATGATTCTTCTCTATCCATCCAGAACGCGACATTTGTCCCTCCGCCTTCGGCAGCTAGATCAGTGTCAATGAGAGATATGGGCACGGAAATGACTCCTATTGCTAGTCAAGAACCTTCTAGAACTGGAACTCCTGTAAGGGCAACAACGCCTAGCCGGAGTCCAAGTTCTTCTAGGCCAGCAACTCCAGAAAGAACCGCTCCGATTTCATCAACCACCCGTCCTCCAAATCTACGGTTGGAATCTGGTAGTAGCAAAGAGTTATCTGAAAAGGAGCTGCAGCTAAAAACTAGAAGAGAGATACAGGCTCTTGGAACTCAGCTGGGTAAGATGAATATTGCTGCATGGGCTAGTAAGGAAGATGAAGACAAAATTGCATCTTCTTCGATGAAAACTTTAGGAGCCGAAAAACAGGCTAAAAGTGCTATTGAGATGCGTGCAGCAGCTTGGGAGGATGCCGAGAAAGCCAAGTATATGGCTAGGTAATATATTTAATCCATGCTTTCATTCATGGACTCTTATGCTCTTCCTTTTGGAACACGTAGGAGGAGAAAAATACATCTTTGGGGGTGCGTTTGTACACAAAGACATAACAGAACAAAAATTTGTTGTCCCACGTTTGGCGCGACTCTTAGACTGGGATAGGATGGGACTGAGTGGGATAAAAATGTAAAAATCAGTGATATGAGACAAGATTGGTAAATTACTAAACTACCCAATGTTAAATTAAAACCCTAAAACCTTTTACGGTTCTTTCACCTTTCTACCTGACTCTCGTCCATCTTGTGAGGGCGGTGTGGATGCACCAAGACCCTCGACTTTGCAAGGTTCATCAGGGAATTCTTTTCATGCGGTTGTTTCCCATGTACTTTCGATAAATGATAGCCTGTTTTCTAGAGTTTTCAGTCTTTTCATTTGAGATGAAACCAGTGAAATGATTCGTGTGTATCTATGGCTTGTGTTGGGAGTGCATATAATTTACTAAAATTATGTGATGAGGGATGCACGACGGTTACATGTTTTATGCACTAGAATATCATGTAGATATTAGTGTATTAATAACCGACAGTCATTTATGTTGGATCAGGTTCAAACGTGAGGAGGTAAAGATAGAGGCATGGGAAAACCATCAAAAAGCAAAAACGGAAGCTGAGATGAGGAGAATTGAGGTATGTACCCGATTAATCATTTTGGTTTATGTATCAACTTTTCGTTCTACGTTTGCTTGGAAATTGCAATGACATCCGTGATTTCCACACACACACATACATCTATATATACACAGGGCTCTTGGGTAAATAATGAGCTAGCTAACATGGGAATCGTTGACCAATTCTGTTTGTCTTCGGGTCTATTCATATGCATGTATGTATGTATGTGTGTATAGTTCAAATCAGTTAGTAAAGTTAGAGTTGTGAAGTGTGAACAGAGGGCCACCATTATGCATGGGGTAGGCTCTCAAATTTTAATTTTATTTTCTGAAGCATTTTTCACAAGCCAAAGGTATTTTTGGAAACAACCTCTATCTCTTGACACGGATGTAAGTTTTGCATACATCTTACCCTCTTAGACCCTTGCTCCACTCAGAGGCCAAGGGCTTGTTTGTTAGCAGCTTAAATCAACTTAATGAGACTCGCAGCTTATTCAGTCAGCTATACATGACCGCTTGGTAGTGGGTTAATGATATAGAAAATTGGCTTATTCAGTAAGCTTTTAGGGGAAGCTTTATGTAGAAAGCCAAGTTTTTTCCAAACCTGCTCCTTCCAATTAAAAACCATACTTCTTTCATCTATGAAAAACCCTTCCAAACAAAAACCTTCTCAATCTATTCAGACATATTAATCCATACATACAACTTTATCTATTCGACTTAATGAAAAACCAAGCAAGCAGCCCCTAATTGTACAATAGCATGATACTCAAATCCGCACAATAGAGAAAGTAAGCCGTACTTATAGGGGTGCTTGGTGGTTTGATGCAATGGAATGTGTCATTACCATATACCGAGTAATGAAGCATTCCTCAACAAATTGGGAAGGAATGAAACTCATTCCGAACCAAGCGCCGCCTTAACTTCTCTAATGCTCAAGGAAGCCGTAAAAAACAAATCCAAGAATCCTGCTTGAGGCTATACACAAACCACCTCTATGATTCAATTATTAAAAAAGTTCAATCATGAATTTACCCTATGTAGACAACATACTAGTTTTAAGGTCAAGAAAGCCYGGTCAAACCAGAAAAGTCAACCAGTCCAGCTAATAAAGAGTCAAACTAACATCAAGTAGACAAACATTTAAGTTGAGGTAAAGTAAAGGAACTTCCAAACTCTCTTAAGATTCATATTGATAACATCAATACATAATACAAGTAGATGTAGAACAAATGAGAGGTGGAACACTCTAATGTTAGAATACGTGGAACCCCATCATATTACTTTCCATTCGAGGGCACAAATTGTCCCCAAAGTGTCGAGAGGGAGCTAGACAGGTACAAATTGTCCTAGAGTGTCGAGTCCCTGGAATGATAGAAATTGGCTCTAATACCATGTGAGAATATGTGGAACCCCATCAGATTACTTTCTAAAAGAGCCCAGAGGCTCCAACACATATTGAGGATAAATGGTCCAATTCACTCCAACACGCCCCTCCAACAAAGACTGGACGGACACAGATTTCCCTATGAGGGGCTAGACGGCTACAGATTTCGCCATAGTGTCGAGTCCCTAGACTGATAAACCTTGGCTCTGATACCATGTGAGAATATATAATCAACACCTTCAACTTGCAGGTAGAGGTAGAACGGATGAGAGGTGGAGCGCACGATAGACTTATGAACAAACTCGCAGCTGCAAGACACAAGGCCGAAGAGAAGCGGGCTGCTGCAGAAGCAAAGAGAAACCGACAAGCGGCAAAAGCAGAAGAACAAGCAGAGTATATTCGTAAGACTGGCCGAATACCGTCTTCATTCACATGCTACCGATGCTGCTGCTGTTGAAATCTATTTTGTTAGGATCTGATGGCTTCTTGTAATCAAAAACAACTTTTTTTGGGGAAGAAATGTTATACAGATGCCATCTTGTTTGTATGATCTGTTCCTATTCACTGAAACTTGTTTTTTTCTTGTTAGTTGCTATCACCACCACCACTACCACTGTCCACCATCTTCACATCCTTCACAATCGTCATCGTCCACCAGTCACCACTGCCTCAGTACCTCTTCCCCTCACCAGAGTCACCACCATTGTCGCTGCAACATGCCTTTGCCAGTTCATAAAGATCTTCTAACCCAAATAAATCAGAGTTTTTCCTTTGAACGAACCATGCTCTATTTTGAACTACCATTAGTTGTATCAGATTCTTTATTCAAATTTGATACTATTATATATGTATGTGTATGATAATTATGTAAAAATGTTTATAAATTAAATTATTTACATATTTACTTGATATGTGATATATAAAATCATCAAACAACTTTTAGATACAACTTGTCGAGCACTATCCTATCTAGCCCTAATCGTACCAAATACCCGACAAACAACTTGTCCTATCAAGTCTTGCCCTCTTATCTGTCCAATTCTGTCCTATCCAACCAACTCAATCCAATCCTATATGGGATACCAAATCTTTCCTGATAGACATGGTATATTTAAATAAAGCCCAAATATTAAGTTTTTTATATTTTACTACAGGGTGTTTACCTAGCCAATGCTTAGATCCGGCTCTACCCAAACTTTTTCTGGTTCACTCCAACATTCCCCACTTGTCCTACTGTTGCTGAGCAGTTTTTGGATATCAAACGGACCTCCCCAGAAGGTAACTTTAATGTGGTTGATTTCCTTTTTTGGAAAAAAACAAATAATTTATTCTTTTACATATGTTTAATATATCTATGTTATGAGTTGGATTCCAGTAAGAAAAAAAAAAGTTAACATGAGAAGTATAAGAAGGAATCTTCACCTTTTTGATGCATATTAGGATGAGATACACCAGATCAATTCTCGTATCAGGCGCGATTATGTGTGGGTTTGGGATTAAATGTAATTAAGAGTCCAAATCCCTTCTTACACTTCTCACCTTAACTTTCATTTTCACACGATCCTTCGCCTCTATGTTATTTGAATAAATCACGCTATGTATCGCATCTTTTATCAAAAAATGAATAAACTAATATCACAAAATTATATACATTATTACAATAAAGACTTGGGGGGTGGGAACTTTTTTCGAAGTGATATAATGGTACAAATAAATCACGTTTCGAATATGATAATCGGTATAGTGATGGATCCGAAAACTTAGATGGCAATAAGAAACCGAACACTTCACCTAAACCAAAACGGTTTTAGGTTATTAGGTTTGCAGATTAAACGATTCGGTTAGACGAACGAAGTAAGTTTCGGTTTCAATTTTTTTTTACCATATCAATTAACCGAATAACAAATTATACTATTATTTCATATAATTCGTTTTAGATGAATCAATTTGAAAAAGAAGACGACATAATTAATATGAAATTATATTTTCAATTTTAAAATAAAATAAAATAAAATAAAATTAAGGAAAGAGTAAATTACAAATTTCGTCCCTGTGGTTATTAAATTTTTTGAATTGGGTCCTTCAAACGAAATGATTATATGTATGGTCACCGTACTTTCATTTTTATTGTGGATTGGATCTCTCGTCCTAACATCACTAACTAATGTTCCGTTAAATTAAGGTTTTTCTTACAATTTTTTTTTTTCAAATACACTTATTATATTTAATATTGTATATATCTAAGGGAAAATGGGATTAAAGAGGTAAGAGGTTATGCACTTTTTCTTGACCAACTCTCTCCCTTACAAACCTTCCCCCATCGGCCACCCTTACCTTCAGTCTCACACCATTCCACCATATCATCGTCCTACGAGCCATTTTGAGATCGACCGTTGCATATCCCATCCCACAAGCAGCAACATCACAAAATCATTACACCATTGTTCATAACAAGCAGTAAATGCCTAATAACATTTTCATTACCATCTTAAAAGAATGTCCAACTTGATTAGTGGGTTTGCAATGGTGCTTAATGGTTAAGAGAGACCCAAGATACAAAATCATTCAAAGAGTTTTAGAACCATTAAAAGACAGACTTTTTTTTTTGCCAAACAAGATTCACCTCTTAACGATTCAAAGACTGTCTCTTAATGAAACTATTAAGAGGTAAACAAACAATCCATTTGAAGATGAATATGTAATTTATATATAATTTTAGTTTTTTTTATATGCAAAAGTTGAGAAAAACCATATTAACCCTGAGTTAACAGAGTTAAAGTTAAAGTTAAAGGTGTTAAGATAAGGGACCTAATTTGAAACAAAAATGAAACCATAGGGAGGACTTGGTCCATAATTTTATGTGGAGGACGAAATCTGTAACTCTTAAGAAAATGAAGCAAAAGCAATACCTGATCCCCAAAAATATAATGAAAGGGAAAGGAGAAGGAAGCATGAACTCTTCCTTCCTCATCGCCTTAAATCCTTGAGCTCTGTTTATTGTTTCTCCTTTCACCTCTCTCTCTTCTTCATTTAGATGGAAGATTAGATCGAATCTTGTTACACCCATATCTGAAAACAAGAGGCCCTCCACAAACCCTAGATCCAGTTATTGGAATTAACCAAGATCCCCTCTCTTTTATTTGAATTTTTCCCAACTTTTTTCTTCTTGAATTTGAATTAGAACTCTCCAACCATGGTTGGCGGTACTACTCATCAACCACAACAAGCTTCTCAATTGGTGGCTCCTCCGTTATCATCATCATCGTCGTCGACAGCTCCTGCAACTACACCGGAGGAAGATGAGCTCTTGAAAAGAAACACCGATTGCGTTTACTTTCTTGCTTCTCCCTTAACCTGCAAAAAGGTACTTTTGTTGTTTTCCTTTTTTGGATTATCACTAGCTAAATTGTGGGGTTTTGTTGCCTCCATTTATCAGATCAGATCTTCGATGTTTTTGATTGAAACCCAGTTTATTAGTTTTGGGGATCTTGAGATTATTTGTTACCTGGTTTGAATTTTTGTTCTTGTTTTCAAATCTTAATTTTTTTGGTACCGTTAGATCTTGATTTCGAGCTGATTAAAGGTTTCAGTCCTCTTTTGAAGTTGTGATGACATGAGTTATGATTTGTAGAATTTCTGGTTTATGTCATATTTGATTTGTTATGCATTATTGGTTTGGTGCTCCTGTAATTGAATAAAGGTTCCATTTTAACCAATGAGTGGCTAAGCATTAAGGAGTGAGAAATTGCCAATCTTGTTAACGGTTTGATTGCTAATTTGCAGAAATGTTATGCCTTTCATTCGAAATAACAGTATTTTGCAATGCAATTGATGGTAGCTAACCCACCGGGTGTCGAAAGGGATTTCTCAGTTGTTTTTAGTTCACTCTTTCCAATTATTATGGAGTAATTGCATATCTTTTTGTTTCATCTACCAAATCAAACCAAACAAAGTATATCCCGCCTGAGGTGGTATGGGGAGAGTAAGATGTACGTAGACCCGATCTCTGCCCCAAAGAGTAAAACAGTTGTTTCCATAAAGACACGGCTTGTGAAAGATATGACGGAGAGAGAAAGTCTATAACGGTAAAGGTTGGTTAAATGAAAGCAAAAACACACAAATAGACTATAGAGGCATGTACACTAGATAGAAAAAGGATCTAGGTAAGAAAATGGGGTTGCTTCAAATATAACAAGAGACTTACGTCACCTGAAATCAAGATTATCTTGATTTGGAAGAACTTGAATCTGTAGGACGTCTTCTTTTAAAACCACACGTGTTTTTTTTCTACTTAGTGTACGCTCTTTGGGATTTTATCATCTTCTGCTGCTTTCCGCTAGCTGCATCTACTTCTAGGTTTCAGTTCGATTGCCATATTGGTCTCATGTTGTAAATGTTGTATTCTATCTGGTAAGTTGCTTACGCACCTTATCTGGATACACTGAAATTATATGGTTTGATATATAAAGTTTATATGGAATTAAGTACACTTGAACTCAATTTCAGTGGGGTTTTCTATTGGGCAAGGCTTGAAACCTGGTATAATTGGTCTCCAGATCGAATCCTACATATGCTATTAATTTCTTAACGACCACACTTGGTGGCCTGAAGTCCTAAAATTTGCCCGGTTTATGTGGAAGGGGCAAAATTCATGAAAGAGGTGCGTTTGATATGCAGATGGGCGAGAGTGAGGTAGGCGGGTGAAAGAATTTATGGAAGGTTTTAGGGTTTTAATTTGACATGGGTAGTTTAGTAATTTACCAATCTTGTCCCATCTTTCTGATTTTTGTTCTGCCTATTTTGGTGGGACAAAAAAGTGCATCTTTGTCCCATTCTGGTCCTGTCCTGTCATAGTTTAATATCACGTCAAATGTGGGACAACAAGTTTCTATATTGTCTTGTCCTTACCAAACACACCCTAGTTGTTATTATCTCTAGATATGGTACAATACCTTCATTCATTTACTTTGCATCTATTACGGGCCATTCTTACTTCCCCAAACATGTACAAGAAACCCCGCCTTTTATTTGACTTAGCAAACCAAATCAAGCCAAAGAAATCCCGTATATCCCACCCAAAGGTAGGGCCTTGGGAGGGGGTAATATGTATGCAGACCTTACCTCTGTCTTGAGAGACAGAGAGGCTGTTTCCGAGAAGACCCCTGACTTGCAAGAACTTTTTATTTGATTTAGTGTGTCTTGTTAAATGGTTTCTCCAATATTGCTAATCAAGTAAGATTATCATCTAATTTTGTTTTCATTTACAGGGAAGTGAGTGCGAATATCGGCATAGCGACATTGCACGGGTCAACCCCAGGGATTGCTGGTACTGGTTAAATGGAAGCTGCTTAAATCCAAAATGTGGTTTCCGTCATCCTGTAAGTATCCTTGTTCTTCAGGCAGGTCCTTGTTCTTTTTGTCGTCAATAGGGGTGCGTTTGGTATGCTGACAAGTCTGAACAGGATGGGCTAGAGTGAGGCAAGCGGTTGAAGGATTGCAGAAGTTTCTAGGGTTTTAATTTGACATGGGTAGTTTAGTAATTTACCAATTTTCTCCATATCCCTTACTTTTGTTCTTCCTATTTTGGTGGGACGAGAAAATGCGTTTTTGTCCTAGGCAGTCCTATCTTGGTCTAATGTTGCACCAAACGCGCCTAGGAATACTACTTGATTATTGTTGTGGATAATGAGTAATAACCTTATGCTCGTTTCAGCCGCTTGACGGATTGTTGGGAGCTGACATTTCGACTCCCGTTGGACCTTCTGTACCTCCACCACATCCCGCTCCTTATGCTGTGCCCAAACAAGGAGTTGCCTGCATCTTCTTCCAGAAAGGTTACTGTTTGAAGGGGCACCTATGTCCTTTCTTGCACGGACCACCAAATTCCGTCAATAACAAAGCTGCACAATCTGGGTCGGCCAACCCTATTTCCGAGCCTCCTAAGACAGCTTTTTCTGGTCCTGAAAAGTCCTTTCAGGATCAGAAGCTTACACAACCGGTAACTGCCCAAAAGCCTGTCGAGTTTCTGGTTCCGCAAGCGGTCAGAATGCAAGCACCTCCGCTAGCCAGAAATGGTGGTAATGGTGATAAAAAGGCACCACCACCTTCTTCTAGTATGGGTGTGGAGGAGCTGCCGAGGTACAAATCAGGGAGGGTTGTCCCGCCACCTGTCGTGAACGAAACACCCGCCAGCAAACCTAACCGTGGTGTCTACCATCATGTGTCAGATAACGATAGAATTCTGAACGGGAAGGATGCCGATGAATATTCAAGAGAGCCGTCACCTGGTTTTGATGTTCTTGTGGACAATGAGCTTGGAGATTCTGAATACTATCGTAACAAAGATGAATTCGGAAGATCAAGAAGAAACGATTATGATCTTGACCGCCCTACTGACTATGATGTTGACCGAGAGATATATCGTGATTATGATCATTATAACGAGCGGCAAGGGGAAAGGTATGCATGGGATGAGCGTAGATCATCTTCCGAGCGGATGTTGGATCCATCTGCTCATCTAGAAAGGCGGTCGTATCCTAGAAATGCCAGCCCTGACCACTTTGATGAGTCGGATTTACGCCACCGTATATCAAAACAACGAAGGGTTTCCGACAACGGTTTGAGGTCCGTTGTCAGCCGTGAAGGGCGGACGCCAAGGAGGGACAGCCACCACCACCGCCACCAAGATCAGGGAGGTCTGAGTAGCCGGCTTAGAGGAAGAATCAAGATTCCGGGAAGGTCCGTATCTCCTACCAACGGAAGACCACCACTATCCGTTAACCATACCCGGCTTTGGGACCGAAAAAAGGACACCAATAACGATCCAAGAGATCATAAAGGTTTTTCACGAACGCCTGATAATGATTCCGAGTTTGCTGGACCAAAAAGATTATCAGAGCTGAAAAAAGGCTACGAACAACAACCGAACGACGAACGCCAAGTTCTGGGAAAAAGGAAATACCCAAATGAGGAAGATTTGTCGTTCGAAGGACCGAAGCCGCTTAGTGAGATTTTGAAGTCGAAAAGAGGAAGTGAAACCGCAAGAATCAAGAACAAACCTGATTCATATGTGAATAATACAGAGAATAATGAGAAAGAAAGAGAGATGGTAGTAGCTGAGAAAGAGGAAAATGTTTCAGCCATTGTTGAAGCAGAAAAGGAGGAGAAGCCTGTTGCTGCCATTGTTGAAGCAGAGAAGGTAAGAGATTCAGTTTCAGGCATTGATGAAGATGCATTGCTGGATGAGGAGCTTGAAGGGTATGAAGATAGGGAAGGGGAGTATGAATATGTTGATGGGGAAGAAGAGTATAATATGGATGATGAAGAAGAAGGTGAATATGTGGATGAAGAAGAAGAGTATGGAAAGAAAGAAGAGAGTGTTGTGTACTTGTAGAAGGGGAATGAATAAATCATAAGTTTTGAAAGATGTTGCTTTTAAAAACTATTTTTTTTTTAATTTTTTTTTCTCTTTGTATTGTTGTAGATTTTGATTTGTATTGAAGGATTTACAATTTGTGGCCTTTTGGTTTACGACGTTTTTATTAGCTTTTATGTAATGCGCCAAAATCATCTCATTTTACACGTACTTTTAAGGGTGTCTGAGATTGTTTATAAAAATAACTTATTGACTTATTCTGGTATGATACTGGTAATAAGCATTTTTTGAGTGTTTGGATAAACAGCTTATATCGATGTCAAATCTATAATAAGAAGTTTTTAAAAAAAGTTAAATCATTCTGACTCATAACAAGTGATAGCTCCACCTTTTAAGTTTTCGTCAAATTTGAAGAAAAATCCTTTCATTTTTCTTATAAAAAAGTTTGTAGAGAAACGTTTTCCTAGGAAAAAGAGGTTTCCAGAAACACAACGTAACCATTGAAGATGCTCTAACTACTAAGAGTTGTTTGTTTACTTTTTAATAGTATCATTAAGAGGTGAATCTTGTTTGGCAAAAAAAAGTCTGCTTCTTAATGGTTCTAAAACCCTCTGAATGATTTTGTATCATAGGTACCTCCTAACCATTCAACGTTCTAATTCATTGTAAATAATTATATTTCATTTTGTATCATATCATGATAGCTTCTTAATCATTTTGACCATTTAATCATTCTATATAAAACCATTCAACAACCATCAAATATTTCTTAAGTGTCTAATTTCATCATAATCAATTATATTTTATTTTGGACTATCTGGTAAGAACATCTCCATATAAGATTGTCTCACTTACTCCGGTCCTGTATCAAACCATAACAACCACCGGCTTTGTAGATTTTCTTCCTTTTTTTTTTCTGCAATTTATGTAGCAAATCATTATCTGCTAGTTCTGTGACTGACCTGATTAATTTTGTTGAAGACCGACCAAGGGATCGTTGTTCGTTGATGGTGTGCAAGTGGTTCCTTTGTCTCAGGTTAGTTGCCTACTCGATCGTACTTGAGAGTTCAATTTTCATCCTTTTTCGTCGACGAAAAGGGTTTGGTTTTCGTTTTTGTTTTGTTTTGGAGACGTGAGATTTGATTAGATTAGACTATAATGTAGATTTTTGGTAGATTTACGTTCTATATAAATTATGATAAGCTAGTTGTATCTCAGATCTGAACTGTAAGATAGGGGATACTCATTATAGCAACCGGTAACGTTTCTCGTTTGAGACTGGAAGATCATGTGTTGAGTTTGAACTTTGGATCAGTATATTTGCGCAAAATGAAAGGGAGATACCAGATAAAAAAGCTTCTTTCCGCTTGCAAATCATATTGTCCCCTTTGGCAAGTGTTTTTGATGTACCAATGATTTTAGCAATGGAAGTTTTGGTACCATTGTATGTGTCAGGAAAGGGGTAGATGGCATTTAGGGATTAAGTTTTAGAAAGTAAGTTAACGTATTCACCATTTTATGTATATACAGTAGTACAAAGATGTTTAACATTGAATCTAAAGTAATGGGTGGATGGATGGGAATGTTGATTCGTTTGAGCTATGAAATATACTGTTCAAGCTTGTAGAGATAAATGACCATACTTTAAATTGGAATTTGATCGAAGTTGGAATTTGAACACTGAAGTTGGCTTGTTGTAATGGGTTTTTGATGAGGCTTAACCCAACATAATAATGGAGGTTTTTTCACCATTAAACAGTTCTTGATAGTTTCAAATTTATTTGATCTAAGCTAAAGTTTTTCCCTTCCACTTGATCAAAATAGCCGCCACTGATCACACCTATAGCAAAGCCCTTGGGCTCCTGTTTGCGGAAGTTCGTTGTCAGGTAAGCCTCCTAAACTCCGCCGTTCTCCAATCACCAGTGTCCCTCCGCTTCTCTGCTCTAAACATGGTGTTTCCCTAGGGGTAGTGATAGCAGTTTCTCTGTGTTGCCTGCTTCCAACTGCCTGTGGTGAACCCCTGCGCGTCGAAACTACTAAGTTCCTCTCTTCAATCTTCCTTGCGAATTCCATGGTATTGTTTAAACCAAGGTGCGTACAACCGAACCTAAGCCCATACTAACAGACTCAATCAGTTCACATATTGCTTAAGAAAATATATTCAGATGCTCTATTAAGCGTTGAGGCCAACGAAATGTACCTTTTTGTGCATTTGATTACCGTAGTTTCCTGTTTCATAGCCAAAAAATGCTCCCGGAGCATTCCTTCCCCCGGAATTGTCAAAGCAAGATCTTCTTCAGTTCAATCCACCATTCTATCTCTCTCCTCTTATTCTCCCACTGGAACCATCATAATATAATATATCTCAATCTAAGTAAATCACCGCCACTTCGATTTGTTCCTCGTCGGAGTGTCAATTCAATGAGAAACAGCGTCCGACTCCCATTACTCAAGCATATGGATCTATTCCATTGAAGGTCGGTAATTCGAAGTTCCAACCTATGACCTTTAATCACAAAAAATATCCCTCCTCTGCCCCCCTTTCTTCTTGTCGATCGACTTGTTGTTCGAGTCCATGGAATCGAATTTTTCAATAACTTCTCCTTTTTCTTCAACACAATTCCATTTGCTTCACTACAACCTGCATGTCTTCCTTCGACAATCCAACTTCAGCCTGCATTGTCCCAAAGTTACAATCAAGCTTGTTCACTCTGGTTGCTAAGCTCCAAGTCATAATGTCGTCTCCAGGCTTTGATACCAATTTGGTGTAAGCTGAGATTCACTGTAATGCGTAATGACTACTTGATTATTCACCGAAAGATTACACAGGTAAGCTCTTCGAGAGGCTGCTCTCTCCCTCAAGTCTATGTCTTCTAATAGAAAAAAATGTCTTGATCATCCCACCACACACGCATGCCATTTTCTTATAGTTTGCCTCTCACCGACAACCAACCAATTTGTTCCTCTCTAACCAACTCAACTACCAATCTAACTACTAAACGACCTTACAAAGATAAGTACAAAATTGCCCCTATGGCTTACTACAAATCTTCCCTTACCTAAAACTCTCTGTCTACTACATGTCTGCTTAATCTCGGGATAACAGATTTTTATGTAGAAACTAACCCTACAAATAGATGTTGCTTGCACCTTAGTTTTTTTTCAAACAGATGTTTGTGAGAATCCAGTTTCTTGTAAGGAGAAGCTATAAGAGGTTTCTGCATCACTTTTCTTGTCAAAGGATTCTGATTATCTTCTTCATGACAGTCGTTTGTACCTTTCTTCTAAGAGTTTAATTATTAATCGTTTTCTATAATTCATTGACCTGCAACTCTAAATACCAGAATAACAAGGAAAGTAATGAATAGGATATTCATCACTGCTGTGAATCCTGACAGGGAATTTGATTACAATTGCTTCAAGGAGTTTCAAATTGCTAGTTGAAGTTAATAACTTTGTAAGTACTTTAGCTAAGCTACTGGGCTTTTTGTTAAATTTAGAGTATCCACAAGAGGATGCTTATTATGTGGAAATTTTTTTTCTTGGAATTTTTATTTTGTTATTCTTTGTTATGTGGTACTCTAAATGCGAGTTTAGCACACTGTTTTGACATTGAATTATATGTTTGAATATAACTTAATCTAAGTTTTGCAAATTATTTTCGATGCAGCAATAGGTTAAGCATATTACATTAGGAATCTGACTATGGTAGTTTGTAGATATTGTGTTCAGAAATTTAGAAGACAGGCTGCGTCTTCTTATTGAAGGTGATGTTCATCTCTTTGAACTCAAGTTTGTCCCATAAAGTTGTTAAAGAGATCTCTATGTTCTGGTGATTCATACAGAAATCTTGCTCTTGGTTCCGGCTAATGGGATTTGTTCCTCTAACTTATTAAGAACTATGGTTAAGTAGGAATGAATCTGTTTTTCTGGGAAAATGCTGGCCTTTAACATGATTTTCAAAGTGGGGCCTTGGATTCAGGATCTATCTTGGCTTACCTATTCTGACAAGGGTTCTTCTTTTATGTCTTAATCTCTCCTCTAGATCTTTGTGTTTGCATTACAACTTTTTAGGATTGTTTACATATTATTACCATGTATTTGGGAGGACAAAAGGAGACTAGCATTGTTTTTAAACTGGCAAAAGCAGTTATGATTTATGCTATCTAAATGAAGAATTTAGCAACTGTTTTGCTAATAGTAATTCAGATCAATACTAAATTAACTTTTTCCTGTTAAATTAGTTTCTCTTGATGAAAATGTTACACACCGATGATCAAATGCTAAAACCTTCGATTAAGATGGAATGTATCAAAGGGTTTCTCAGTTTTCGAGAGACTGAGAGCTCTCCCAAGACTGTTGGCAATCTCAATTGCACACAAAACTCATCGATACCCACTTAAACCCCAACCCCTTTATTTATACCTGATAGCTTGCATTAACAACTTGTACTATTGCACTAACTACTTGTACCTTTCACTTAACATTGACCCTGCCTACTAGTATTGACTATTTGACCCAGGGTACAACCGAAAATTGTACTGTCATGGATATCAATACATGGTAAGTCCATATAAGGGTAAACTATTGTGCCAATTCAGTAGTCATAGTGTTGATCCTCCTAGAGGACAAGTTAAAGATCACCACAATATTCTCTCTTTTATGTGCTCCTTGTATATCATGGCCTGGTACCTTGATAACCAGGTTAATGCTGGTTTCTATATCTTGGCCTGGCAGATCTTTATGTGATTTCTAATATGTTAGTTTAAATATATAATTATTGCTTCTAGATTCCTATTCAAAGCATGAGTTATTCTACAGTAGTATCTATGGATCATTAGATAAAATATACATCTTGACGTAATACGTTTCACATTAGTTTCATTTATATTTAGAAGTATGAAGGTATAATTCCATGTCTAATTTAACCGTTTATGTCTTAATAGGGAGAGAGAATAATACCATTCTACACACCTTTTAAGGTATTTTTAGACAAACTCTAATGTTCACTGATCTCATTTTTTTAACCAGAAGTTGAATTCACTCATGGTAAATTAGAGGCCCAGCCATAATTGGATTTGGCTAAGAAACGGAACTGATTGTTCTATGAATTAGCAAAGAAGTGGAACTATAAAAAGAATATCATTTTGTTGAAATATAAATGAAATTGCAAAATAGTATTGAGGATTTTCATTATAAACCAAGTCAAAAACTGCTACTTCTAGGAAGCAATCAAGCTTAATGTTATTGCTTAGATCCTAAAAGTTGGTTTAGCTAGTTTGCAAAATCTATGATTATTCTCCTTCTATTGCTTAGCATAAGAACAGACTTTAAAATTTTAATGTTTAACTGCTACACTACTCTACATTTTTATTATATGCTGTAACCAAGAACGAACTATATCTCCTATATCTTTTCTATCACGTTTGGAATCTATCTCGAACCTTCCGTCCGTTACGTTCTTTGTTCACATGACTTATCACTCTTTTACAAGCCTTCTTTTCAATTCATTTCATCTATTGCGAATCGATCCTTTTCTCTATACATTCAAACCCTTTTTTCCCATCTCTTTTCTATCGGTGAATTACATCCTCTCTTATTTGATCGCCGATACAATTTGATTTCTCCCGAAGATACAGAACCCCTAAAACACAAATTTGCAAAACCTAAATGGCAAAGTCTGTAAAGGAATTGCCAAATTCCGGAATGCATCTTTCATATGAGATCATCTTCATGATACTTGTAAGGTTGCCGACGAAATCCTTGCTAAAGATGAAGCGGGTTTGTTCCCAATGGCGTTCCATAATCTCTGATCCTCGTTTCATCAAAGCACACCTCGATGCAGTAAATGACGAACGCAACAATCATCTTACAAGGTATCTTCATTGGCCTCCGTTGATGAGATCTATAGGATTAGAAGATGAGGATCAGGGGTATGAATATACTTTTCCTGTGACAAAATTTTCAGACAATGCAGAGATTTTAGGTTCTTGTAACGGATTGATTCTATTAGGTGATGATGATCGTACTTACTACTTGTGGAACCCTTCAACTCGGTTGTTGAGAAAATTTGATGGTCCTTCTCTATTTAGAGGAGAATTTAGGAACTTCGGATTTGGTTACGATTCAACTACTAGTGCATACAAGGTTGTAAGGATCGTGCGTGTTACCAGTCATAAGGTGGGATTGAGGCCTCCTGAAAATAAGAAATACTGTTATGATGCAACTAGTGCCAACGTGTATAATTGCAAGACTAACCGTTGGAAGAAGATTGAAGATTTCCCATATGTCATCTTCGAAAATTCCCAGGGAGTAGTTGTAAACGGGGTCCCACATTGGGTGATGTTTCGGGATCATCATGGTGAAGATGATGCTATAGATCTTGTCATCGTATACTTTGATTTGGCGGAGGAAAAATTCAAAGAGATCCCAAACCCCAATTGGTTAGTGCACTCCTCTTCGTTTGAATTTGGTGTTCTTGATGGACGATTATGTTTTATTCACCAGACCAAACGACAAAATGAAGTATGGGTTATGCAAGAGTATGGGCAAGATTCTTGGACTGATATATCTTCTGAAGTCGATATCGATAGTGTTTGTATCACAGGCTGGAAATCTGGCAATACAGTTATGTACAGTAGAGGTCCGAAGTTCTTTGATGCAGTAAGATATGTTGAGAGCTTAGTCTCTCCCCATGGTGGGAGTGATATGATTGGATGAGATCATAGCGAATGGATGGACCTCACTGGAAGAAGATCTCATATTTTGTGAGTTTTATTTGATATTCTTGATTCTTGCACTATTATCACAAGCCTCCTTAACTTACACATTTAGTCATTATTCCTTGTATCTTTTGCTCACACTTGTGCACAAGCCGGGGATCTTCACAGAAACAACCGCTCTACTCTCAGGGAGATACTAGATTTGTTTGGTTTAGTATTTTGTGACGGGATATTTAGGCCGTTGATCTTAAATGAGAATTTTATTCATAATATAACCTTAGACAAGTTTAGTGGTATTCTTGTGTATGGAAGTGGCGTTCTTACGTTAAGGTGTGACATTTCACTGGTATGTCAGAAGGTCATGGATTTAAGAAAAACTTGTCAGAAAGTCATTTTACTAAAGGACCTGTTTTGAGACCTAGGGGAGACATGGAACAGCGGGCGAGGTTACTCCTTGGACGTATTTGAAGTCATGGAAACTACCCCTACGTAAATAGTTACAACCCGAGAAATCTCTCCCCAACCCTCACAATGTTGAGGAACCTTGGTGCACCAAGGTTGTATCCCTTAGGACTGTTTGGCTGGTTTTCGTTTTAAGCCTCGTATGGATAAAACTGTCTGTATAGATTGGGAAGATTTATGTTTTGGAGGGTTTTTTCATAGATGGAAGGAGTGTGTTTTTTCATTGGAAGGGATATGTTTGCAAAAAACTTGACATTCTGCATAAAACTTTCTAAAAGCTTATTGAATAAGCCAATTTCTATATCATTATGCTACTACCAAACAGTCATATATATATGACTGAATAGGCTGTGAGTCCCATTAAGCTTATTAAGCTGCTAACAAGTAGCCCCTAAGATCAAACACTAGGCACCACAGTGGGTGAAAGGAATATAGACCGGAAACTTGCAAATTTATGTATTCCAGGTTCCAATTTCTGTTTGCTTGTTTACACGCGATTTCACCTGTAGCTTGTATCTTCTATTTCTTTGTTTTATAAGCTGTGGGTCTTCATGGAAACAACGAACATCCCTCATCCCCCCAACCCCAAAAGACCCTATGAGATTTACTGGTCTGGTTTAGTAGCTTTAAGCTGGTGTGAATTGTATATGTCTATTAACAACTGTAATTGTTTGGTCTAAATGTGCATTTCTTTTGCAGAGAGTCGATTTGGATGGCGAAGGCTCATACTGAACGCTTGGCCGGAAGGAGTGTGTTTGTTTGTTTGTGTTTGAAATAATGCTGAATGTTAGAAGACTTGGAACCTTTGTTGTGTTGTATCCCTTTCATGTTTCGTGGTGTAAGAAGTTTGGAGGCTATGTTTTATCTTTTAATTATTGGCTTGAATCTTATGTTTTATCACCAACTTATCTGGTTTGTAGAATTTGATTGGATTTTGGAATTGAATTCCATTCCAATCCCCGTATTTGTTTTGAAGGATTTCATGGATTTGAAATCATGCAATTTTATTGAAATCCCAGAGTCATGGGATTTGGAAATCCTACGGGTGGTTGGTATATCCTTCTGAATCCAAATTCCTTAATTTTAAATCCTTTCATAAAATCCAAATACCTCAAAACCATTTCATCAAACCAAATATCACTTAAGGGTCTGTTTGGTTAGCAGATTTGGAGGGAGTTTTCCTATCGTGTGTTTGTTTGAATTTGAAATCTCGAGATTTCAGTGAAATGTTACAATTGACAGATTTAGAAATCTTTTGGAGATGGTTATCATTTTAATTTCAAATCCATATCTTATAAATTTCAATTGTTTCTGTCCCATCTCTATCCTATCTGTTTTTATCAAATTTGCAATAACGTCTTCATCTCTTACCAAAACAAATTATTTTAAAATAAACAAATCTTTACAAAAAATTAAATTTTATTCCAAATCTTACAAACCAAATGCACCAAAGATTACACATCCTCCCACAAAATCCAAATTCCTAAAAAATATTCCGTTAAATCAAATAAGCCCTAACACTGAATTGTTGAATTTTTCGGCTAAAAACATGTCCATAAAAGTGGTGCGACAAAATATGGAGGCACTTCGTACCTATAAAAGGAGTCAAAGACTTTGGTTCAATAGCGAGCCAATAAAATACCGGTTAGGTATTATATTATTTTATGTCTTGGGTATGTTTGGTATGAAGATGAAATTGGACAAGACTGGATATGTGAGAGTGAGGTAAGAGGGTGAATGAAATAATGCAAGGTTTTAATTTGACATCAGTAGTTTAGTAATTTACCAATTTTGTTTAATATTTCTGAGTTTTCTTCCACCTATTTTGGTGGGATAAAAACAGACACTTTAACCGTTCAGTCCAGTCTTGTCTCAGTCTAAATATTGCACCAAACATGAAAAGTTCTTATTTTCTGTCCTACCACATACCAAACATATAAAATACGAATTAAATCTTTTTGGAGTGTGGATGTAATTGGGGTAGCTTGAATTTTTTTGTCTATGTGATCATATAATGTGAATTTTGTATTTAAAGTAGGGTTGTCAATTTTGTTATCAAACTAAAACAACCAAAATGTATATCAGCTATATCAATTTTATAGGTATCAACGTAAGTCACTAGATAGTATTGTACTACGTAGTGACAGTACTGTACTACGTATGCAAACTTAGTTGGTATGTGATATCAGATATTATATACCACAACGCTTAATTTTTAGTTGTTTTATATACATATGAATATGATTATAATTTTTTATTTTGTTCAAATATAAAATTTCAGATATTCCAATGAGAAATTGTATAGATTTTCATTCTCAATTTACAATACAAATATTGTATCACATTGAATCATGTGGTTATACAACCAGTATATGCGTATATGTTTAATGAGTTGGGTCCGGTGAAAAAAAAAAGAGTTACGATGAAAACCCGAGTAGAAAACTTTCATAATATTCATATAAATTTAAATACTTTATTTTTCTAGACCGAAACTTCATTAAATTTGTGTATATGAAAATGATTAAATGCATAAAAAAATTCGTAAAAATTAAAAATAAGTAGGTAGATAAAGTAGATGTATATATCGAAGGTAAATTAAGTTAGATTAAAAAATCAACTCATCAAAAAATTCAAAAATATTCTTAAGATTATCATTAGGGGTGCTCATGGTCGGGTTAAATACATTTGAACAACCTAACCCAATGTTTACGGTTTGAAAAATCTTAACCCAATCCAAAGCAAAACAAAGTGCACCCCAACCTAACCCAAACCGTATGGGTTGGTCGGGTTGATACTTTGATATATTAAAATATTCTTATAACCTTGAATATGTTATTTCTCTACTCATAATCTATTTTTTATCATCAACCATTTGATACAACTTATCCATAGTTCTTACGTATATCACATTTAGTTAATTTTCTCAATTTACATATATATGTTCACAGTCACTGAACATATATACGAATTAGTTATATAGAGATGTGAATAGATTGAAAATATGTATAGATGAAAAAGATACATGATAGTGTAATTGTCTAATGTATATATTTATAAAAAATTCAACAATCATATTAAATTCAAGAAATAAAAGGATATCGGGTTCATCGGGTTGGGTTGGGTTCAAATAATAGTAACCCAATATCAACCTAATACCTACTGTTTGAAGATTTTACAACTCGATTAAATATCGGGTTCATCAGGTTGGGTTGAGTTCAAACAATAGTAACTCAATATCAACCCAATATCTACAGTTTGAAAATTTTACAACTCCATTAAACAAACGATTAAGTTATTTCGTCTTCGGTTGAGTTGATCGGATTTTTGACAATCCCTAATTATCACCATGACACAGAATATTTTAATGATTTCCTATTTTGCCCTTTGCTTTTAAGATTACATACATTATCCATAATGCATATACAACTATGACACCATGCAACATATGAGTGGCCGACATGAACACAAATCACAGCAACCAGACCAACCACTTCACCATATCATCATGTCGTCGTCTTCTTCTTCTTCATCTTCAACAACCACCATGGCCATTTCCACTTCTTCAGACTGGTCATTACCTTCCATTCACAAAACCCTAACCTTCAATCCCTCCAACAATCCCCCAATTCTTCTCTTCATCTCCCCCCCCAATTCTTCATCTTCTTCAAGAATCTTCATCCCCAATTCCTCCAGCAGCTGTCCACCACCCATTCTTCAACATGATTCCGTCCTCCAATTTGATCTCAAATTGCAAGATTTCCCAGATTCATCCCTCCCCCAAAACCAAGATCTCAATCTATTCATCTGCAATCTCTTCAAGGATTCCAAAACTGAAGAAATGGGGTTCGAAAATTATCAGAAAGCCAAACGAATCCCGGATTTTAAACCCACCAGATCGACATTGCATAACCTAATCAGGTATTCATTGCGTTTGAAGAATTGGAATTCCATCTGGTCGATTTCTCAAGATTTTGGGGAATTTAATGTCTTCCCAGATGCTTCATCCTGTTGTCGGTTAATCAGTAGTTGTATCCGATCCAAGAGATTTAAACTTGCTGATAATTTGCTTCATGTTTTCAAATTTGAGAAAGAAATTGCTGTTTTGAGCTTCAATGCCGCCATGAGAAGCTATAATAAGCTTCATATGTATAGTAGCACCGTTAAGGTGTTTGATATAATGTCATCTTCTGGTTTGCAATTAGATGGCGAGTGTTATGGCCGCACCATGGAAGCTTATCTGAAAATGGGTAAGAATCAGAAAGTGATTTCGTTGTTCACAGAACTCGAATCTAGTAAGCTCGAGTGGACGTCGTTTTGCTCCCAGATTTACCGGATTTTATGCGAATCGTTGGCCAAATCCGGAAAACCGTTTCAAGCTCTAGATTTCTTTCGGGAAATGACTGAAAAGGGGTTCCCAGAAGACCCTTCTTTTTACTCGATATTAATCGGTTCGTTTGCCGGCATTCGAGAAGTGAAAGTAGTCGAAGATCTTTTGGAAGAAGCCGAAGGCAAGAAGATGATTCGGGATCCAGCCGTGTTTCTAAAGCTAGTATTAATGTACATTGAACTTGGGTTACTTGAAAAGACTCTCGATGTCGTTTCTTCAATGAAACGAGTGAGTATCCGAGTTTCGGATTGCATATTTTGTGCTATCATAAACGGGTTCTCAAAGAAACGTGGGCTGAGTTCTGCCGCTAAAGTGTACGAAGATTTGGTTGCCGAGGGCTGCGATGCAGGCCAAGTGACCTACGCTTCGGTGCTAAACGTTTATTGTCGGATTGGGCTCTACGAAAAAGCCGAAGAGGTGTTTTGGGAAATGGACAACAAAGGGTTTGATAAATGTGTGGTCGCGTACTCGAGCATGATTGCGATGTACGGGAAAGTGAACCGGATTCGGGACGCGATGCGGCTTTTGGCTCGGATGAAAGAACGTGGGGTCGAGCTAAACGTGTGGATTTACAATTCTCTCCTTGATATGCACGGAAAAATCTTGAACTTGCGGCAAGTCGAGAAGTTATGGAAGGAGATGAAACGAAGGAAAATCGTGCCCGATAAAGTCAGTTATACAAGCGTTATAAGTGCATATAGCAAGGCTCGGGAGTTCGATATGTGTATGAAGTACTATTACGAGTATCGGCTTAACGGCGGCGGGATCGATCGAATGATGGCAGGGATTATGGTCGGGGTGTACTCGAAAACCACCAGGGTCGACGAACTCGTGAAGCTTTTGCAGGATATGAAAGCCGAAGGGACGGGTTTAGATTCGAGGCTTTATCGATCGTCATTGAACGCTCTTCGAGACGCCGGTGTGCATATACAAATTAAATGGTTGGAAGAGAGTTTCGACCCGAGCCTCACACAAAGATCGAATCAGAGGCTATAATTTTTTTTTTTACGTTTTACTGATTCAGAGGTTGCCTTTTAATATAGTCATTAAGAGGTAAACAAACAGCCTCCAAGTTGCAAACGTGGGGCAGGTTGGAAGAGGTTTTTTTTATGGGTAATTCTTTTCGAAGAACGGTTTCCGAGTCAGTAATGTTGTAATAACTTGTACTTTATGCATCGGGACTTGTACATTCATGCTTAGAGATTTAGCAAGTTTGGTTCGTCCATGACCCGATCCTTGTGTTCGATGTTTGACCCCGAACCCTCTAAGGCTTGGAAGTGTTAACACTAGACCTGCCTACTAAAAACGAGGACTGCTCTAGGCCCTCAGTTCTAACCGGGGCTCGGTCGTTGTTTTAATTATCCGGGTACCATTTTGAGACCATCCACTATAACACAATTTCTTAAATATCACGCCAATACTCCCCATTAATATGATTTATAATCAATTTCTTAATTGACACCTCATCATAAAAATATATATTTTATTCAAATAACAATAAAATTATCATCAAAATAATTTTTAAACTTAATACCAAATAATTTATTAAATAAATACTTATTATAAAGTATAATAAATTAATTATATAAATTAGTTTATATTAATTTATATTTTTTTTAATTCAATAACTAAATATTTTTAATTATATATTAAAAAGGAGAAAAAAGAGTTGTATGAAGTTATGAACATCAACCTCAAAAACTTTTAAGTTAATAATGACGTAATTTTATTTAGGTTAAGTTTGCAATTTTATTTATATAATATATTTTATTATTTTGTAATATAAATTTTATTTTGTATTTTTTTAATATATTAATTTTAACTTTCTAAGAAAATTAAATATAATGTTAAATTTATAATTTAATAAGTAATTTTTTTTATTAATATTAATTAATTATCAGACCATTTATATTTTTCTATAATTAAAATCTCATTTGATAAATTATTCATAATTTTTTAAAAAAATCAAAAAAGTATATGTAACATATTGATATGACATTAGCAATTACCAAAAACCAATTTTCTATTAAACAATCGTAATGATGGTCAAACCGGCCCGGCCAGGGACCGATTATAGGACCGGAATCTAGGACCGGTTATGGATTTGAGGTGTTTCGTGGGACCAGGACCGATTATGGGACTGGTTATGGACTGCCCGGTTTTTCAAAAATGTAGCTGTTTTTTTGTCCTTTTTTGTATTTTTTGTTTTATAAACACTATATATAAGTGTATTGGTTGAGAGATTTACATATCAAGTTCTCGATTCACAAAAAACGCAAAAAAACGTTCACAATTATCGGTTTCTCGTAGTATTTTGTAAGCCAATGAAATTTTAATTGTAATAAAACGTATTTTTAAAGTGTATTTGAGTGACGCAATTACAAATTTTATAATATATTAAAAATATATATCATTCAAAAGATAAAATAAAAAAATATTTTTTAATAACCGGACCGGTTGGGACTGGGACCGGGACCGGCGGCCCATAATCGGTTACAATAAAGCTTGATCGGGCTCAACTTTTTTGAACGGGACCGGGACCGGTTATAATCGATTATGAGAAATCTTGGGACCCGGTACCGGTTTTTGGTCATCACTAAACAATCGTACATCAAAAATAATTTCTTGAAACTATATCTATAATTGGGCTTTTTCAAGTTTGGGCTTGGGCCTTTTAAGTTTGTCTTTTCTGAAAGAAAAGAAAGTCTTCAAGTAGAGATGGCCAAATCGGTCCGGCCTGGGACCGTTGGAGGACCGGGACCGACAAAGGACCGGCTCGGGACCGGGACCGGTTGAGGTTTTTGGTAGTTTCGTGGGACCGGGACCGATCGGGACCGGTTATCGGACCGACTATGGACCGGCCCGGCCCGAAAATTCAAATAATTTTATAAATAAATGTATTTTTAAATAATTTTATAATGTATTTTTATAAGAAAACGTAATTTTAATTATATTAAAACGCATTTTTAAAGTGTATATATATCATTAAAAAAATAAATTTTTTTTTTTTTTAATGCAAGGACCGGTTGGGACCGGGACCGGGACCGGCGGCCCATAACCGGTTATGAAGTACCTATACCGGTCCTATCATTTTCGACCGGGACCGGTTACGCCGGGACTGGTTATGGCCGGTTATGAGAAAAGTGAGGACCAATTGGGAACGACCCGAGACCGGTTTTTTGCCATCTCTATTTCAAGCATGGAACGGAAAGGCTTTGAGGTTGAAAAAAGGTATATTTAGCTTTTTTAAAGCTTAATCAGACTATTCTAGTAATTTTTTTTAAACGGGCCTTAATCAGAGATGGCCAAAATGGTCCGGGACCGACTTAGGACTAGACCTACAAGGACCGATTATGGACCGGTAGTTTGGGATTGGTTATAATTTTTTTTGGAAAATTCAAGGACCGAAACTAGTTATAGGATCGGGACGGGACAGGTTGTACATAGGTCTGATTTAAAAAAAAAAGTTTTATAAATTATATATCATGTTTTCCACGATTTCTACAAGATTTTCAAACTTTTTTTTAATCAAAAATTTGAAGTTCTTTTTAAAGTGTTTTTTTTCCCAAGTGTTGTAATACTAGATTTAAAAACTCGTAATTATAAAACCATGTATAACGTTTTTGTATAAAAAAGATTTAAGAAAATATTTAAAGTGTTTTTGAATGACACAATTAGATATTTTAAAGTGTATTTAAATAAGATTTTATCCATAAAAAGAAAACCTCCAAACATGATTTTTTATATGTTAAAAATTGGACCGATTTGGGCCCGGTCCAATGCCGGTTCTAGGGACCAGGCTTTGTACATGGAGAATGGGCCAAATATTGTTGGTCGGGACCGGTATCAATTACTACGTGACCAGTTACATAAGGAAAATATCAGATCGAGACTGATTTGGGCTGGGCTCGGCTCGGCCCGACCTGGACCAGTTTTTGGCTATCTCTAGTCCCCCCCCAACATTTTGGCCACACTCACTAGGTTGTAGACTTTTTCAGATTTACATCTCTATTCATTAGAATTCAATAAATATTTCAGCAATTGAGATAATTAATTATGGAAACAATTAATATATTTATGAAACTAGATATTTATTAGACTAGATGAACGGTTGAGATTAATTTCTATGATTATATGACTGGCATTATTTGTATCTAAAACTCCCTCTAGTCAACAAATCTTTTATAACATAATAAAGGTTGGACTTTGGATAGAATGGAGTGGAGAAATCAATTTTATTGCTTGATTATGAGGATAGAATGAAGAGGAGAAATAAATTCTCCTTCCTGATACAAATTGATAAATACTGAAATCAATAAATACTTGTTTGATTTTATGGACAGATATTCTTAGGCATGGCAACAGAACAGGGATGAGGTGGGTTTTGTAATCCATGATCCCGGTTTTTAGTAACAGCCCCCGCCCCCGGTCCCTAGCGGATACGGGGATTAACATCTCGTCCTCTGTCAAACCCCATGAATAATATCCGTTAGTTGGAGTCTACCGGAAATCCCCGGCCCCGCCCCCAACCCCGGTTTGAGCAACAGTTCCCGTCCCCGTTCGGGGTCGGGTGAGCCGGGTTCCCCACCGGGTCGGGGCAAATCACCATCCTTAGATATTCTGGGTGATGGAAACAAACGACAACTAAAGAAATTCGACTATTCTTTTGCACAACAACGGCCCAAAAATGGAAGAGTGGTTTTGATAGGATTGAGACTTTGAGCATCTTTTGTAGTTCGAAAAGGTAAAACAAAAACAATTAATCAAATCTTTAATCAATTTTCAAGATTTCTCCAAATATGAGAAAAATAATCTTCTTAATTTTGGGTGATTTTGTTAGGAAAGCTTTTATTTCTCGATCGTTAAAAGCTCCTTTTTGTCACACATTGATAACGGAATGAAACTTATAGGTCGTAGCCACGTCTAAACCTATTTAAAAAACTCGTACAACTTTAAACTCATTTCCGTGGACTACATTAGTAGGTGATCAAAAGTCTCATGGTATAGGTTGATGACCCCCATTGCACTTAGAATAGGTGTTTACCAGAGGTCGACCCAAGTGGTCGAGCCTATGTCATAATTTCTGATAGTGTCGGTCCGTGCTTGCGGGTGACCCCCCTCCCCCTATCCAATAGAAGGTTTTCAACATTTTTCGTGCTTCTATCTCTTTTAATTCTTAAAATACGTTAACCAAGTTAAGAAAAAAACGTAAAATATGTTGTTATTTATTACAATGATGTCTGACGCTGCTTCCTAGGGTGCTCTTTTTTCCTTTCTTTTTTGTATGATCTGGTTAATTGGACATATTTTTTTGTTATTTTCAGAATAAATAATATTAAACTAAAAGTTAGTTAATATTATTTGACATCTTAATAGTTAAATGATATATTTGATGCATGCTACAAACTTAAATATGTGCCTCCTCGTTGTATATTAATAATGAAAACTGCTTAAACTCATTAAGCGTTAAACCTAACCTTTTTTATTTGTCGGCATCCGCTTCAGGTCCTTAGTGGGGAATAGTACTAGTGACACTATGACGGGTTGAGTGCTAGTTGGATGCACAAGAAAGATTTAGAACGTTTGGAACGTCTTTCGTACCTTGGAGATAGCAATTGAAGGGTTTTAGTAATACCCGTCCCTGCTATTGACTTGTGTAAAGGTTTGAAGTGTTGTGTATTGATGTTTAGGTTGCCACTACAGGTAATAAAATGCGGACTTTCTAGGGATTTAATTCCTTATTTGTTGTTTTATCAAAATTTTAAATTACAAAACCTTTAGTGGTCTATTTGCCATGTTTCAAAACCCAACCAGTCCCTCACTTAATGCTAGGTTAGATAACATCGTTAAATGTATCATGTGCCCCTTACATAAATGGCATTTTGATCTATTTACCATTCTTCTTCATTCCCACCTTCAATTCAAGAACATTCATACCCACCACCCCAAACTACCACTACTTACCACCACCGCCACCGCCACCGACCACCATTCACCATTCTAAACATTCATAATCTAATGAAACTCGTTCAAAAACTTTAATGAAAATTCAGATAAGATTTTTTGGTCATTGCCATACTCTACAGGTAAGGTAAGTAACTTGATAAACGCTTACAATGCTTACCTAAACGACCCCTAAACATGTGTGTTTACCTTTTTTGAATAAAAAACACACATTTACATCAGATATTAAAAAAAAGCTCCCAAAAACATTTTAAAGAAAAATAAACAAAGATCAAAAAGTAATCATAAATTCAATTGAATAATAAAAACAAACCATTAAAATAATAATAAAAAGACAAACGTTTTACAATCAAAGTCATAGAATGATTTCTTTTTTGTCTCGGAGCGGAACAGCTGAAAAGGAAATGGCTGCATTTTGATAACGATGACAAAATGAATGATAAAAAATAGGAAATTTTAGATCTGAGGAATAAATTATAGAAGAAAATCATTAGAAACGATTATATAATTTAATTATTAAAACAAAGAAAATGTTTTTTTTTTGTCTCAGACTGAAAAAGCTGAAGAGGAAATGGCTGCTTTTTGATAACGATGACAAAATGGATGATAAAAAATAGGAAATTTTTAGATCTGATGAATAAATTACTGAAGAAAATCATAAAAAAACGATTATATAAATTAATCAACGGATGAAGAATTTATAGAAGTCAATTAACAAATTTTTTTAACTCTTAAATAATCCATTAATCAAAGGGTTCGTACATCGGCACCTTTGTCAATTGGTTCTCCGTACAAACTCTTGTAATTAATTTAAAATTTTATTTTTATAATATATTGATTGATTATGTCGGAAACCTGTAGGGGTGGCAAAATGGTTTAAGATGAAATGAAATTTGTCAAAAGCATTTGAATGAAATGTTATTTGGTTTGACCATCTGTTTGGTTGACAGATATGAGAATAAAAGTTAAACGAATTGGGATTTGTTTGTTTGGTTCGTGTAATGTAGTTATGGAATTGGAATGTAATATTGGTAAATGACTAAAGTACTATTTTTTGAAAAATTTGAAACTGAAATCTAACTACTGTGGTTTCATGTTGGTGGTGGTCGGTGGTGGTTCAGATTGGCGGTGGCCAACGATGGTTCAGATCGGTGGTGATATTCGGTGGTTCAAATGGCGATGGTCCTTAGTGGTTGAGATTGATGGTGATCGGTGGTGGCCGACAGTGATTTGGATCGACGGTGGTTGGTGGCGGTTCCGTTGGCGATGTTCAACGGTGGATCCATGTCGGCGGGGGCGGTGGTTGGTGGTAGTTCCGATCGATGGTGGCCGACGGTGGTTCAGCTCGGCAGTGGCCAGTGATGGTTCAAATCGGTGGTGGTTCAGATAGCGGTGGTCAGTGGTGGTTCAGATCGATGGTGGTCAACAGTGGTTTTAATCGGGGGTGGTCGGCTGTTGTTGACGGTGGTTCATAGTGGTGGTGGTCGGCGACGGTTGGTGATGATTTAGATCGGTGGTGGTCGGCAATGGTCAGTAGTTCAGATCAAATAAGGAAGATAAGGGTAATTTGTCTTTTTGAGAAAATGGAATGAATTGAATTGAATTCCTTCTCGATTGTGATAGAATGACCAAATTCATTAATAGAGGAATGTGTGGGATTCATTTCCATTCCATAGGTGGAAACCAAACACCTGAACGAAATTTGATCAACGAAATTGATCATTCCATTTCATTTAAATTCCGTCGAAATCCTACGAACCAAACGCCCCCTTAGAATTTTCCTACGGATTTCCGACGAACCTTTATAATATTAATTTAGAATTTAATTTTAATAACATTTTGATGGATTCTGTCGGAAATCCGTAAAAAAATTTCTAAGATTTTCCTACGGATTTCGATGGACTTTTATAATTAGTGTAAATTTAATTTTAATAACATATTGATGGGTTCTATAGGAAATCGATCACTGACTTCCGACGGAAATTTTCGTAGGTGTCTAGGTAATATTGGATTGGTCACCTCTGACTCTGGTAAGTAAGGTATCCTCCTCTTACCAGATAATTGATGCAGTCAGCAATAGAATTTGGTAAAAGCCTTTCAATTTTGTTTGATAAACACATCACTTCTTACCGGAATAAGAGTCTCTTATATGGTAAGATGCGATAAGCAAGTAAACACCCTCTTAGTTGATAAAGAGGTAGGATGACTTTACCTAAATACAAGACAAGTCCCGAGTTCGATCCCCTCAGCTAACCTTAGCCCCTAAGCGAGCCAAAAAAATGCCGCCTCATATCAGTGTCATTGGAGTCGGGTTCTGTTAAGGTTGTCATCTTACAGGTAATCAATTTTTTGCCTAAACAATTTAAGTTAAACTAAAAGTGTACTCGTGTAATGCATCGAGACACATTTCCATTTCAGGGTTTTGTTTTATTTTTTATCTATGTCTATATAATACGATTTTATGTGGTTTTGAAAAAGCGATAATGTTTCTATTTTTGAATAAAATATAAATTTGAAAATATCATATAAAATTTACAAAAAAAATATCAATATTAGTGTCAAATTAACTATTTAAAAGTTCTTGTTTGTGTATTTTTTTTAATTCAATTTTTTTATTATAATTTAATTTAACATAACGAAGTAACTTAATTTATGTATAATAATATATTTTTTATAAATATAATAATTAAGTATTCTGTTAGAACTCAATCATTATCATAATTATATTTTAGATTTTTTATATTTTAAAATAAGATGTTTATTCTCTATTAGATTATGTTTATCTATAGTTAGTTACACGAATTCAAACATGAAACTGTAATAAGTTGTAGTTATGCACAATTTACTTGTAATCTTGAATTTTAAGTATTATACATTAATAAACAATACTTTATGCATAAACATAATTTTTAAGAGTTTTTGTCAAATGATTTATAATATAGTATAGATAATAATCATTCATAATATAATTAAAATAATAAGATATATACATCAGTTTAATAAATGTATTTGTCCGTACTTCGTATTAGCAAATAAAATAATTGAGTCATATATAAATTAATAGAAAAACGAGTGATTATTATTTTGCAAGTGATAGATGAACAAAAGTCAAAATTCGCAAATAAGATTAGTCAAAATTGTAGGCAAAATATCTAATTCATTTATTTTGAAAATGGATCGATTTTGACTTGTATTTTATATTTAACGGTTTAAAATAAATAACACCAAAGAAATACTCTACCTATAAGAAATTAAATATTTATTTTTATTTTTCATTAATTTTTTTAATTATAATCAAGTTTTGAATTAAATAAGTTATACAAAAAATATTATTCTGTGAAGTTTAATTTGACACCAATGTTTATAACGCTAAAACTCAAGAGACAATATAAAAAAATCGGGTTATCAAAATATATCTAAAGTGTCTATGAGACTACTTTATAGAATCAAACATCTATACATCTGATCTAAAGGGGTGTCTAAGATTGCTTATAAAAACAACTTATTGACTTATTCCGGTGTGGTATCGGTAAGGAGTGCTTTTGAGTGTTTGAATAAACAACTTATACAGTGTCAAACCGGTATAATAAATTGATATGTGCTTTTGTAGAAAAACATAAGTTGTTTCAAATAAGCAATGCCAAACACACCCTAAATGTGTTGTAATAAGTTTATGGTGTAAATTATACTTTTGGTCCATATGGTTGCCACCTCTTAGCAACTTTCGTCCCTTTTTTAAACTAATTACAGTTTTGATTATTGTAGTTGTCATTTTGTTTCACTTTTAGTTCCTCAAACAGTCTTCTGTTAAATAGCTTTGTTAACTTAAGGGTATATTAGTTTTTTTTGTATTTTTTTAATTTTGCATTAAAAAAAAAATATATATATATTTTATATTAAAAATAATGTCTTTTTAGTATTTCCTTAAGCATGTCTTTTTAGTATTTTGGTCCAGTTACACCGGTCTTGTCACTGTCGGCTTCCCACCCACAATTAGGGGTGCATAGAAAACTGTCAATCCACGATACATTTTCACCACAACCCATTAACAACCCAATTAAACCCAACCGTCAAGCCGTCAATCTACCAACCTGCCAATTAAGAGGGTCGAAATTGGGTTAGGCGTAGCTTAACCCACAAACCCGTCACTAA